AGCCTTACAGAAAACCGTCGTGAAACAACCACAGCGTAGTGTTTCACCGTGTGAGTGAGGTTACCAGAGGCCCAATCCTTCCCCTCCCCCATCCCTAAATCTCCAATCTCAAATCCTCGAAATATCTACAACGCACTCGTGTCTCGTATCTCCTCTTTTGTTACGGGTGACCATGATTGGAGCTGATTCCTTACCATCAGTTAATCCAACTGCTCGTTTGCAGTCCTATCGCACAAAAATCTACCCTAAATTAACATATATAGAAAAACTTGTTTGAAACAAAACCTCTTTGCCTAGCCATGACTTACATAATTAAAAATATCTAAATAAAACTCTAATGAAATAAAAAAAAACTACCTGTAAAATCGTCAAAAAAAGAACGAACGCAGTATATTCAAATACCGCCATCCCACTCTATAAAAGCACTACACGAATATGAATGTGTATCACTGGCACAACACCACAGCACTATTGCAAGATGGAATCGATACAAAGACTGAGAGGATTCCTCTGAATCTCGGACAACGTTTGTTGAACAAACAATAACCACTATTATGAAATTAAACACCAGTTATGACATTACCAAGAATAAAGTAGCAAACATTAACACACATTGTTATAACTAAAACAATGCTAAGTCTGATCGAGTAATGATCTAATTTTTGTATCAATATATTACGTTAAAATTCGATATTGAAAACAATGTCTGATTAATATTAAGATTTTACGTTTATAAAATAATAGTGCGATGATATCTCAAATTGTGACTTAGGTACCTATTCGGCCATTCGGAGTAAGGGTAGCTCGCCGCCTTATCAGAACCAGACCTGCTGAGCGTACGGCGCGTAACGTTCCATACGCGCCTCAAAGATCCAATAGACCACCAGAGACTCTATTACGTTGATGTGTAGCCGACTAAAGCAGGAGAAGGAACAGGGGTTTTTTAATTAGTAAGAGTCTGACACTTCCTCTCGCTAAGGCGAGAGGTGGGAGGAGTAATTTGATGATTTTCCCTTCACAAAAAAGGTAGGTTACCTACCTACCTACCTATGAACAGTCACAGATATTTGCTATCGTATCTTTAAAACCGCCAAAATTTTTTCACTGACTGCTTCAATACTACCTACATTTAAACTTTCGCGTTTCATATTTAAAACATATACATTACACCGGTATTAACGCGCGGGTAAAAAACCGCATAAATAACCGCGTATATATTGTACAAAAAATTAGCTTCGATGTTCCTGAATGCTACAAGTGAAACAATCTTACCTTACGACCCACTACGACAAATAGGAGTCGAGCTTCGAATGGAACCGCGCGACCGTAACTAGTTTTTCAATAAAGCGGGAATACCCCTCGAGTACATTATAATCTAACTTTAAGTATTAATAACACATGATTTCGATGAAAGCAGTTCAAACTTGAATGGTTGAGATAACGCTCGATTGTCGTATCTAAAAAGAGTTGGCAACACTTCTCACAGTTAAAATGTAACTACGTTCGTTATTCAAAATACTACGTAGCTATCATATCAGCAGCTGATTGTCATTTCTAATTATAAATGTCATGTATACATTGTTTAAATCGTATTTCGTACCTACCTATAAGAAACTAGCTACTCTCTCGCGGTTTCACCCGCTGTTCTGCTCCATTTGATCGTAGCGTGATGTTTTATAGCCTATAGCACGCTGGAACATTGTAGCCCAGTGACCAGCAGTTCCAAAGAATATCCCTACATAAAAATTTACAAACTTACAAATTTTACCGCTTTATAATATTAGGTAGCATGGATATTTATCTAAAAGTTACAATGGTTCTACGCAAAAAAACTTTACTCAAAAGACCTTTTTAAACATTCTCATGAAGACTTAATCATGAACTCTACACTATTATCTTGCTTAAAACTTGCCCTACGCTTAGATATTTACAAGCTTATTACTTTGGAGGGAAGCAACATTTTAGATACCACAAACAAGTTATTATTCTGCTGCTGCCAGTGTTCAAGCCTCTGTGCAAATCGTCATTTCAAAAATCGACGAAAAGATGGGAATTGCTCTTGTCACAGACTACCTATCAGTAAAGTAATAATTATAAAACTAACAAACAATCATTTTTCGTAGAATAGAAGACATGCAGCATGTGTTGGTGGAATGTGCCCGATATACAAATAAGAGAAATGCACTTCTCAACTCCATAAAACTGTCGGCAATGCATGTAGGAATTTTTAATGGTATCTTAGCTAAACCTACATCTGAAGCTGCGAAAATGGTATATTCCTTTATATTGGATAGATAATAATTAGACTAAGTAGTTTTATAAAATATCAGAGTAAGCATAATATAATTATATATATTAGGCTGTAATATTTTGTAAGCCTTAGTAATTTTATTTGTAAACATATTTGATATGTAAAAGCACGATGGGATTGACATCGTCACAAAATGTGTACAAAAATCCTTTAAAATAAATGAGATTAAAAAAAAAATCATTTTTTATAGAATACCATAATAAGAACAACTTATAGCAAATTTATTTATTACTTAGTTAAGCATTTTATTGCTATACTATAATCTGTAGGCGTAACAGAATTATTCTATTATTAAATACTTATTCGTGTCAGTATGTTCGTGTATGTTTGTAAACGTGCAATAGGTATCGGCGAGGGAAATTCTTAGTACTTTCATTGACCTTGACACCTTGGTAATTGAGTTAAGAGACAATAGGAATATTCTTTACTACTTGCGTCATCGGCTAATGGAAGCAACGATGGCGGTATCCGCGACATTCCCATGCGAGACACCGACTCAAGAGCTTAGAGTACCTATTATAAATTCTTCGCCCGAAAGGGAGAGAGCTAGAGAGAGAAAGAGAGGATTAAAAAACAATAGACTGCAATCTGCCTGACTCTGTAGGTACCTACTTCCCCTCCATCATATCTATGCCATAGAGCTTGATAAAATCAAACACTGTCAAAAAGTTGATGCTACAGAAAGTACATTTAAAAAAGCCGTCCTCTTTCAGCCACGTCCCGAACTTTTATTTTTGAAAAAAAACAGGCAATTTACCAATCGAAGTTCGATCGAATCTGTATAAAAAACATAATGGCACTTCGAAATATAAACAACTCGATTCTGTCACTCCTAATTTGTTTCATATCATGTCTATACCCAAAAAACATGCCGTGATACCCGTCCACCAAACAACAGCTGATATCTTCGGTCCAGGCTAGAAGAGGTCAACTCTCTGACTATATTTCATTCATTATCTGAGGTCAATTTATCTGGCGTGCATCGTCACTGTCAATGGAACTAGTTTAAACCAGTTATTTTCTACATGTCGCATGATAGGCGTCCATACCTATTTGAATGAATAGGTACATTTAGCAAGTTTTATATTAGAAATGCAAGTGCAACTATTGTAACGACAGCTTGAGGTTATTAGAACGTCGTGTTTATATAGGTACTCTTTGATTAGAAATTTGTGTACCTATGTTGTAAAGAAAAGGAGCCTAATTTCTAACTTACTAGGTACTAAGCACGTGCTTCATAAGTAAGTATTGTTAAATGAAATGGAAATCAAGGTAATTTACTTGTGAAAGACTAAAACGGTGAATAATCTCTTTTTTCAATTAAGTAGGAATAATTTGAGTACTTTCTTCAGACTTATAGAGGTGTTGAGTATACCTAGCTACATCTCCTATACTTACCTACTAAAAGACAGCGTCACATAGACTGAACAGTGTTGTTTTATGTTTATGAAACTAAATATCAAGAGAAAATGTGTCTTTTCATAGTGCAAGTAACTGATATGCCAAATAAAATCTGGTATCATTACTTATTTTATCATTTCCATTCTTATTCAAATTTTACTGTGCTATTACGGAAATAGTTAAATTGTTATCAGACCCCGTTCAAATTAAGAATCGAAACACGAAATATTTATAGACTGTCAAATACTAAACACTAAAAAATAGAAACAAAAAAGGATCCAAGACAGATTAAACCTATGTAGGTATTTATTTAAATCATTCTAGTAGGTAAATATTGAAATTATATCTCAAGTCAATCATCATCTCACAATCAATATCAAGTCACCACTAAGCCACATTGCCAATAATTAGCAAAATAAATGTATTCAACCTATTTACGATAATTGTTTTCATAACACAACCGCTAGTTAACCGCTTTTATTACTGAAAACTGCTTATAACTGGTTCGGCTTATTATCTTTAGCAGTTTTAGGTAGCTAATGTGTTTACCAAGTTGTTATCTGAAATTATTCATGGCACGGAATAATACAACGGACCTGCCTACTTTTACACGATTTTAAAGCATGTTATATACCGAACTAAAAACCCCATGATCTGAGTTTAGCTAATTAGGAACAAAATGTAAATGTATTTTGGTAAAATTGCGCCACCGAAATATAAAATTGTGCCTCTACCCAGGGCAAAAACCGGATTCGTGGTCAGAGGCGCGGTACGATGCGAATTGATGCAATTCAATTCCGATATAGGCACAGATTGGGTCTAGAAAAATAGGTACCTATTAAATCGAGTAAGTTTGTTTACCTACATAAATTAATAATCTACCAATTAGATTTCATAAAATATAACTGCACTTTGTTTGTAATAATTTGTATTTTGGATAACGTTTTACAATTTGATTTGCACAACGTTAATAGTGAATTATACTGAAATTACGAGACCTCTTCACATACAATAGAAAATAAAAAATGTAGATATATAAAAATAGACAAACTCACCGAATAATTACTCCAACAAGAAAATCACTTTCCAGGCTTGTTTCATATTAATTATCAAATTCACAATTTTAAAATTGTTCTTTTTTATTCAAATCACTTTTTTTATTTTAAGTAGGTACGCATTTTATCGCAATTTGAGATATTAATCATCATTTTTAAATTAGTCTAAATTATTTTTTTTTGCATTATTTCTGTCAAATGCTTCATTCCATGTAACTAAAAAAAATGGTTATAAATAATTGTCACTGTCAGTTATTTATGTCACAACAAACCAACGTCAAAATAACCAAAAATGTTTGTTTTGGCGGCAAAAAATTGGGATATTTGTCAATATCAGTGTCCAACGCGACTCTTTCTTTTAGAAATGAATAGAGTTAATTCTCTCAAAGCTTTATCATTCGTAAACTTATGATAGCGATGTCAAGGCTAAACCGTCTGTGGAGAAGCTAAATACGAGCGGTCTGTTGTTTTCACGCTAGTACAACCGCGCGCCACACGGCGACAAGTGGGGCTAAGTTGAAAAAACTTCTAAAATATCTTTCACAAATTAAGTACACAAAATAAATTATCAAAATGCCACCTGTTTCATTGACTAACGATGTGAGTACACTTTAAATATTTGGAGTATTTTTATAAATTAAAAAGTGATTTCATTCACCTTTTCCAAATTTTAATCATAATATTATGTTACATTTATCCTTTATTTTTTCCGTGAAGTTCCTTTCGTAAAATACTATACATAGAAAATTCATGAACATTGGTTTGTCCAAAATAAATATTCAAAAATATAAGTTATCCGCAAGCATCTAAAAATAAAATTAATTCATATATGTTTTTATTTTCAGGCACCTAAGAAGAAGCTACGTGTTGCTATAATCGGACAGAGCTTGTTTGCAGCTGAAGTTTTTAAACTTCTGCAAAAAGATGGACATGAGGTGGTTGGTGTCTTCACCGTGTTGGACAAAGGAAACCGAGAAGATCCTCTAGGTGAGTAATTTTTTTTTATAAGTAATAGTCTCCATGAAGTATAAGTTTTTATCAGCAATATGTAGAATATTAGTAAAACATAACTTTGTTTTAAATTTATTAAATGTATTTAGAGAAATATATTTAGAATCTAGTAAATAAAAATGTGTTTTCATGTTTTTATTTTATTTTTTTCAAAAAGAATGTTTATCCACATTTCTTAATTTTTTTTATTATAATTATTAAAAAAAAATCTATTACTTCCAAAATCAAATTACAGTTCTTAATTCAAAATGCTTATTTTTTTCACTCCAGCAACCATTGCTGCTCAGAATGGCAAACCAGTATACAAATACAAAACATGGAGGGTGAAAGGCCAAGTGATACCCGAAGTATTGGAACAGTACAAATCAGTGAGTGCTACATTTTATTACTAGTTATAACCAGTTCGGAATTGATACAAATACATTATTAGTTATGATATTAAATGGTTTTGTCCTCTTGCATAGTGATAGTTAAATAGGAAGTTACTGAACTCTGGTAAACAGTGGAACAAGTATAGATTTTAAAAACCCTCTTTTATATTGATACTAAAATACTCATTTTATAAAGTGAAAATGGAATAGGCTCTGAAACTACTTGACAAAATGTTCAATTTGAAAATTCTTTCTTTTTTGGGAAGCCCGTTATCCCCACTGAACATGGGCTATAAATTATGTGAATGGAACGGCAGGGCACAGCTAGTGCTGTTTTATTTGAATGTATGGAAAAAAATATTGATTAAGATTTTTCTGTGTTTGAGAATTGAGTACCTATTGAAAAATTAAATGATCTTAATTTATTGTTACTAAATAATGGTTTCTGAGAAGAGTTCAAACGGATTGCCCAGGTATAACTTCTGGAAAAACAATAGTTTAAAATTTCCAAAGGTGTTAAATTGAATAATCATTAGCACTAATTGGTTGGCTTGATAAGTAGCAAACCACGAGTTTAGATATTTGTATAACAATAACAAATTGCATATCATCATAGACTTATTATGAACATCAAGTTATTTAATTACTATACTCGGAATTTCAATTCCATTCCAGATTTGACAATTTCAGTGTTGCAACGTTATGACACGTAATAAATAGTGACGTTGCGAAATTATTCGATATGGAAATCGATTATTTCTGAATCGATTCCTCTCGTTTATAAATTTACTCACGTAAACTAAGTTTATCAGGAAATAAAATATTTCTGAACCGATAATTTAGTTTTGACAATTAATTAACGATCTGAGACCTTTCTCTTGTAATTGTGTGTGAAATTAATAAAAAATGTGATCATGAAGGAACATGACAAATAAAACAGACATTTTATAAATTTTCGCCGTCATCGCTATCGCTATCGCCGTTACTCTATGTAACATTTATTATGAATTGTGTCTTTGATATTTATTGTCAATTAACATATCTAGCTTACTCATTGTTTCCTCTTCTTTGAAAACATGGGATACACATTTAGACCTTTCGGTAGCCGTAATTTTTTGAATGCCTTCCTGAAACTGATTCACTGATTGTTTATCGATTTTTGTGTTCATCACTACACTGTTATATGTGGTATCATTATTTCACAAAATGACAGTGGTCAATGTCAAATCAGGAATCGAATTAAAAGTCTGACTATAGATTTTGCTAACATACATAGAAATAAAGGAGGTTGTATTTCTCAAAATCAAATTCAGGATTTCTTTGCCTAAAGTATTTGCCAGCATTTTTTTAACTTACCTTTTTTAAATTTAAGTAGTAGACTATCATACCCAGTGGACTTAAAACTACCTACTGGTAACTTTTTTAAATTAAATTATCGCTATCGTTGAGATTTTCGTTTGAAAGCGCGAATCTCCTCAACTGCTGGTTCAAAACTGAAGAAATTATTTCCGTTTCTCGTGGTAAACTATAAAAAATTACTCTGTAGCTTAAACCCTGCTAGTATCTAGTAAATATTCACATACAATTCCACATTTATTAACAAGCGAATTTGTCGCCTTTGTATCATTAGCATATATTTAGCAAATATAATTTAGTCTGGACTATAATTTAAGCACTAAGTGACACTATTTTAGCACCTATAAATATTATGAAACTGACATTGCACTCACCTTCAATTTTTGCGCATTGTATTTTGTACTTACTAATGAAACTGTTTTTAGGCACTTGTATAAATATAGGAATTGTAACTATTATTTTTATGGCCTAATGCTACAAAATAGACCAACATATTGGTGCAGTGCTGCTGAGTAGTAAAATGGAACTCTCTTATTCAAAATCTAGTCAAAATATTTCTTTTTTTTATTATGAATAATTCTCAATGTTAGCAAAATCTAGACGCTCCTCTTTCTCATTAATTTGTCTTTTTAGACAAGCATAATTATCATAGAGAAACTAATTAACTGGCGAAAATGTACAATTTGCGAAATCATCATGAGTATAATAATGAATGTTAGAAGTGATAATATAATATTAGGTTTAAATTATTATTAAAAAAAATCATTATTTAAATCTCGTAATTGATTGGTATAATATTTAAGTTCATAATTATGATATTTGATATGAATATTAGAGTAATTCTGTTAACCTTTTAAGGAGTCTTGCCCTCAAGTAACTCCGTTGTTATACATATTTCAATACCTTTAAATACAATGTTGAGAACATACTATTCATAAAGGGATTACATTATGTTTGTATGTACATGATTTAGCTAAATTCGTGACTTAGAAGCTTTTATTTTACGAACTTGTACCTCGAAAACAGTAGAGCGTGCTCGAAATGCACCACGGTCGAAAGCTCTCGAGCATGCTCGAAAAACGTATTCATTTTTCCATAAACTTCAGTTATTATAAAAGAAATTAGCCAATGCCTTTTTAGCGAAGTTTTCTTCTTCCGGCAATATAAATTGTTATATCGTTTAGGTATCAATCATCATAATATTATACCTATTTATTTACTAATGAATATTGTATCGTAACGTGATTATGTCACAGCTCAGTATATCGATATTGGAACTCCTATTCCTACTGCACTTTTGACCTCTTATATCGCTTAACCATGTTAAAAGATATAAGTATAAGTATCTATAGCTTAAATTAAGTAAATTATGTAAGTAGGTACTTACTATGTAACGCATTTTTCTATTATGATTCAATATACCTACAAAATTGCGCCCGAATTAGTTTAGTATTTTTTGCATATTCTTTATTTATAGTATAGCCGTCATTATTTTAACATTTCTAGACGAATTTAAAAACTTTTTTCGAATATCTTCTTCGAAAAGTATAAAGCCAAATAAATCTAAATAATAATTAAAAATACTAATGCCCTAATAAATAAATAAAAAACAAACTACGAACTTTTCCGTTTACTTAATTAAGCAGTGAACTGTGATAACTTCATCTATTTAGGCCGCTCATACCGCGGTATCTACGGCATTATTATAATTACAAGCACCTACATTTGGTACATTCCGATTGCTTCCGTATATTGCTAAACTATCAAGAAATTCTAAGAACGAACTATTAAAGTAGGTAGTACTAATGTACCACCAACTTTAATACTTTGTTTGCATTAAAAAAAAACAAAAAGTACCTATGGTTTACTGTTTAACCGTTCCTCAGTATTTTTATTTGTGTTCGATAAAGACTTGTTTTGTTTCTTCCTTAGAGCTCCGTAGCCAAAGAGAAGAATCAAAAATCTTATTAGGTACTAAAACACCGCCGTCCGTCTCGTCATTCTGTCTGTCTGTGATAGTGTAATACTGTGATAGACAATTGAAATTCGTACAGACGATGTAGGCATTTCTTTTCCGCTACACAACAAATAAAATATAATAAATATTATTTTTAGAAATGCTCCCCATACAACAAATAATTGTGATTTTGGAATTACACCCTTCGTGCGTGATTGCGACTACCAACTAGCAATTGTTTTTTCATTTAATATTCGCTTTCACATGTCCCTCCATAGACTGATGATCCATAGATGTAACTACCCCCTTTTTTGTGAGGGGAAAATCATCAAAAGATTTCTCCCGCCCAGGGCCGGGCCGGAGGGAGTGTCAGACTCTTACTGACTAAAAACCCCCCGTTCCTTCTCCTGCTCTGGGCCGAGATCGCGGTGCCTCATTGCGCCTACCTCGCAACCAGATGTTACTACCCCTATGAAGTTAAATAATGCCAGTGTATAGTTTTTCATTAGGTACTACTACAAAGCAGGGAACTCCCTATAAAACTATGACTGTTGTTTCCTATACAAATAAATACAAATCAGTATATACATATAGTGTCTTAGTTACGGAGAGTCAAACTATGTGATAACCTGACTATCTCATAATTAGTTGAAATAAGTTTACACGGACTGGGCACGTGTTTATAAAACATACTGATAAAGTATTCTGCCTCAACAGATTAATTAGAACAGCTGATCTGTATAAATAATATACCAATATAAATACGACTCATGTACACGCACGCTAATACATCTTCTTATAAATCACGTCGACCTAGCAGGATGAAAATAAAGCTATAGATTGACTGATTGACGCATATCTCGTCTAATTTCGAGCTCGAAATCAATCGGGCATGCTCGAAAAATGTCAACACATCCTTTTTTGTATTATTAACTAACTTAGGTTCTACAGCAACTTAAAATAATGTTTTGTTTTAACAGGTGAATGCAGATATCAATGTACTACCATTCTGCACACAGTTTATCCCTATGGAAGTAATCACATACCCGAAGTACGAGAGTATCTGCTACCATCCCAGTATACTGCCCAGGCATAGAGGAGCTTCTTCTATCAATTGGTAAGTGAAAATACTTATTTAAAATACTGCGTAGCTCTATTTAAATAGTAAATTTATATTACTTTGGCCAAGGGATAAGCGGCACAAATACATTCAAAATGTGCCACTCTCTCTACCAATCAATTCAGGATTTAAAAATATGCACCTTATGGCGTGTAGACACGTCTTAGTGTGAGAGAGCCTTGCTACGGCACGAACAGGCTGGCTCGAATAGAATGATGCCTAACAGAAAACCGGCGTGAAACAACCATAGTGTTGTGTTTCACCTTGTGAGTAAGCTATCCTCTCCACTCCAATCCCTAAGTCCCCAAAACGTCGGCAACGCACTTGAAACTACTCTGGTGTCAAAGTTTTCACGGGCGACGCCGATTGCCTACCATTAACACGATTGCCGCTGTATATTGTAAATAAAAAAAATATTTTTTTCATTTATCTTCAGCTTTGAAATTAAGAATAATTTTAATAGGTATATTTTTTCCACCAAAAATGTGACCTACATTTTCTCGATTACTGATGACACGATGATACGATGACACGAGTCCCCTTCTGAGATAACTGCATTATTTTAAGTCGCAATACGACTATTACATAAATAAAGTAACAAAAAAAAACTTCAAAACTATAAGTATCAAAACAAACAACAAAGCGATAAGCAATGTCACAAATCATGTTTAGTAATTATGTTATAATAAAACTTTTTATGGTTATAAGAACAAAAATGACATAAAATGTTATCGATATAACTATGTGAATGACATCGAGTGATGAAACAGAACCTCTCTATGTCAACATACCTCGGGAACACGTTCTATCGGAACTCCAAACGTGGTGCAATCACTCTTCGCAAGATCGATTACCTACATACATTGCAACAGAATGTACATTAAAATCGATTTTAATCGATTTCCCACTTCACTATAAAGTTTTAATATTTAATCGATTCGTTTTACTTAACTTGAAGCGTACCTATAATGATTATGCTAATAATTAATTAGATTGGAGAAACTATTTTGCCTTTGATTCCCGAATCACTTATGGGATTTTTAGATATATGTGCTAAATGAAAAGAAACACTCGTTATGTAGTATTTAAGCTAGCAATTAAGAATTTTACGGACAAGCCTTCTCAGTCTGGAGCAGGAAAAAGAAGGGGTAGTTAGTCAGTAAGAGTCTAACAATCCCTATCGCCTCACCCTGGGCAAAGTAGTTATTTGACGAGTTTCCCCTCACAAAAAAAGGTAATTAAGATTGACAATTATCTGTTGTTTTTGTAAATTGTATTTTTGTAGGCAAGTCTTTATTTTCTAACCTGTATACTAAATAAGTTAGCTGTTTTTAGATAGGATGTCGACAGGTATTCACATTCCCGTTTGTGTAGAGTTAGCAATTTGCTCCGGCCGGAGGTTTCCCTCGCTCGTTTTCTGTAATGACATCGTTTTAATATAATCAAGTAATTTTACTACCTATATCATTATGGTGTTTTTGCTATTTGCCTCTCGTGTTAGAAAATTGCGTGCTCGGTAAATAAGCAAAAAGGTTGCATGATAGAACTTTGAATATTGTATGATTAAAAAAACAAAATGTTTGCCTGCCTACACCTTTGTGTCGGTGTTCCACTATATAGTGTTTAAAAGACATCTCAAGATACTCATCACAGAAAAAAACATCGAACTGAGGTGGGAAATTGAATCTTTTTGATAATTTGAACTCTATCTCTATCTTAATAAATACCAGTCTCTTATCTTTCTGTCACTTTTGTGTTATGGCTGTTCCATCAGAAAAATGGCGAATCATACTTGGTGAGCATTACACCATTCATTATCACGACGTGTTTAGCTTGGAGTGACATTATTAAAACCGCTAACGCGCAGGTCAACCTAGGTCTTCCCAAAAGAGGCAAGAGTAAAACCTATGTGTCTTCATGTCAGGAGTGATTGGCATAATAAATAAGAACATCGTAGTCTTTTCTACGTGATTCAAATAAAATACCACTTATGCAGATCACGTATGAATTGAAAACATTAATATGAACGCTAAGTAGGTATATGCATACATACATACACGGTCAAGTTCAAAAAAATAAGCCAATTGTATTGAGTCATGTTTGCGTGTGTAACCGGTACGAACCGGTATATAGTGGATTGCATCCGTAATTTATGTTAATAATATGCCTAATAACTGGTTTCCGAGCTTAGTTTGTTATTAGGTAATTTTGGGTTATTATACCTAAAGTGTAGGTACTTATGTTTACCAATAGAAAAGATATTTCGATGCATAGAGGCGCATGTTAAACTGAAACAAAATATTGTGTAAAATTGGAAGGCAATAAAGAAGAAATTAATAACAGATTTATGATTTTGTACGAGCACCTAGCTTCACGGCGATACTGACAAATTATGTATTTCATTTTTGAAATGACTAACATTAACATCAAATGAATACAATCGCATTTAAAATAGTGGTAGGTACATAGAGAATGTTCGTATGACCAGTGGTGCATCCACTTTAAGGGTATTTTGGCTTTTAGAATATGTCGAAAAACTATTAAACATTATTTTACTTAAATATCAAAATAATTGTTAAAATCATTTATTTCAAATATACTACAGTAGGCACTTTTCAAAGTCAAGCACACCAAATAAAACGTTTAAGAGATAGATAACCGGTTAATACCAGAATTATCTGGAACACTTAAAAGCTTATTTAAAAATGCACTTATCTTGTAATAATATTATTGCGTTTGTCTTTTGCGCTGTTGAATTTGCCCATTATATACTTCAGCAAACATAATAATACAAAAGCATGATCCACTTATTAGCATGGCTTCAAAATAGTTTGTGTACATATTTTCTTGATTTTCGTAATTGACGTAATTATGCAATTACATATGCAACATAAGTACCTACGTATACTTACATAGGAGTTTATAAGTGGGTAGTTTCCTAGGCCAAAAATAAAATTAATTCGACGTTTCAATACAATAAAATATTGAAAAATAACTATAAGTACTTTTATACATCGATCGATCGATACACTAAATTTTAGATATTTACTAACTAATTATTAAGATATAAGTAAGCTATTTGACGCAAAAATACTATGACGTCATAACTTAGTTTTTCATACAATTTTCATAGGAAAGTATCGTTTTTGACATTTGGATAAAAGTATTGAATTTGGCTAGTTGGAAACTACCGCATTACAAGAATATTTCCTTTCTTTGATTTAGAAAGTAGAAACAAATAATATTGACAAATGTAACTATGACTGCTTATTAGTGCTTAGTGCCTATAAAAGGGGCGATTTTGTATTGAGCGGGGTCGGTGTTCTACACAGTCCGGAATTAAGGGGGAAGGGAACGGATTGGGCCTCCGGTAACCTCACTCACACAGCGAAAAACAACACTGTGGGTTGTTTCACGCCGGTATTCTGTGAGGCCGTGGTATCACTCCGGTCGAGCCGACCCATTCGTGCCGAAGCTTGGCTCTCCCACACTTAAACTTACTCAAGTCTCATTAAATATGCACTACAGTTGTCTGAATTAATAGTGAAAAAACCTAAAAACATTATTTACTCTCTAAAGAGCCAAGCAGGTTTTTCTTTATGTATTTTAATTTGTTCCAGGACTCTTATAGAAGGGGATACGACCTGCGGTCTGTCCATATTCTGGGCTGACGATGGTTTGGATACCGGCCCGATCCTACTGCAGAAGAGCTTCCCCTGCACCATTGATGACACAGTCGATACTATCTACAACAAATATTTGTACCCTGAAGGTAAGACATTGAAGAAGATTTTTTTATGCTGAATTAATTAGAATAGGCTATATTGTTACCTGGATTTCGTAATAGGAAACCCGGTGTGATTAAATTAAAAAATAAATACTTCTATTTTTAATAATTTATACTCTCCTGCAAATTCGCATAAAAATTGGTTCAGTCAATCGCGAGACGAGTACAAACATACATACAGATGAACCTGAGTTACTTTTTTTAAAGATGCTTTATTAGTCCAGTGGTCGTTGGTACGTCTGCCTATCATATGGCTTGGGTTTAGAGAAATTTGTTGTAATTTAAGTCGAGATTCCAATTGGTTTACCTCTGTCTTCGCTGCAGAAGGTGAAAGAAAGATCTTATAATAATGCACGTTTGCAATTTCAGGTATCAAAGCATTAGCGGAGGCTGTGAACATGGTTGCTAACGACACCGCACCTAGAGTCAAACAGACTGAAGAGGGCGCCACTTACGATCCTGCTCTATTCAAGCCAGAGACACACAAGGTAATTTACACTTAAGAATGTGACTGTACATGAGTTTTGGTGTTTTTAAATATTTTATGTAATATTTTGTAATTAAGTAGGGTTTAAGCTTTTACACCAATCATAACTCCAGTTTTTATATAACACTAAATATAAATGACAAAATGAAAACCAAGCACCTACCAACTTAATACTATATTTTAGGATCTATTTACTCAAGTTTGCTAAGCTTGAAAAAGGCCGTTAAGCTGCGCTTGTTATTTTATGATTTATATATGATTCAGTCATCATAAATTCACTCATAAATTGAAAATAAAAAAATAAGTTTCGTGTGTGTTTGTCTTTCCAGTTGTTTTAGAAAATATCTTGGTTATCTCAACAATTAAAGTATAAAACCATACTTTCTCCAACAGATCGACTGGTCCAAAGGCGGTATGGCACTGCACAACTTCATCAGAGGCTTGGACTCCTCGCCCGGTGCCACCAGCTTTATCAAACCACAGACTAAAGATGGCGTCGTAGATGACAGTGAGGCTACCATAGAGGTCAAATTCTTCGGATCTTCTCTATGGGTCGACGAGTATGAGACGAAAGGAGATGCCCTAGTTATTCCTGGGCTAAGTAAGCCAGCAGTGGTACATGAAGCTGGGCTGCTAATTACTGCCAATGATGGCGTGAAGGTAAATAAAAGAATTTAAAATTCCATTATGTTTATCAAAGACGAAATCCCTTTATAGAGAACCATCTAAACAGTCTCTGGTAAATCTTCTATTGCCGTTCATATGTTTATAAGTAGGCAAAAGAACAGACGGATTACCTGATGGTAAGCAATCGGCACCGCCCATGGACACCCTCAACATCGAAGGAGTTACGAGTGGCTTGCTGGCCCTTTGGATTTCGGATATTTACGGATTGGGGAAGGACGGGAGAGGGGAATGATTGGGCCTATGACAACCTCACTCACATGGCGAAACACGACGCTGTAGTTATTTCACGCCAGTTTTCTGTGAGACCGTAATATAACTCCAATCGAGCCGACCCATTCGTGCCGAAGCGTGGCTCCTAAAGTCATCTTCATAAAGTTCAAAATTAAACACCAAACACTTTTCATTTTCAACACTCTTCTCTATTACTTACAGCTAAACATCCAAAGACTGAAAGTCAACGGCAAAATGATAGCAGCACAGAACTTCTTCAAGGCAAACGAAGACAAAGTGACCCTAGAACTGAGCGCTGAGGAAAAACAATTCGTTGAAAACGTCCGGGACATTTGGAAGGCAATCCTACGCATAGATATAGACGATGACACCGACTTCTTTACCTCAGGAGCTGGGTCTATGGACGTCGTTAGGCTTGTGGAAGAAGTTAAAGACTTAGCCAAACTAGAATTACAGAACGAAGATATCTATATGAACACAACTTTCGAAGAGTTTTACACCGTAGCCATATTGAAATCTAGAGGCGGCACTGAAAATGCTGAGATAAGTTACGATGGCGTTGAAATGGAATGCAATAAGATGAAAATTAAGTTCCCGACGCAGTTATTTATTGATGGGAAGTTTGTAAACTCTGATAATGGAAAGACCTTGACTCTTATTAACCCGACGGATGAAAGCGTTATTTGCAAAGTTCAGAGCGCTTCAGTAAACGATGTTGACCGCGCCGTGTTGGCCGCTAAGAAGGCGTTTGAAGAAGGAGAGTGGTCTAAGATCAGTGCGCGGGAAAGAGGACAGCTTTTGTTCAAGTAAGTATGTTTAAAAGGTTGTTTTTCCTGTAAAAGTCTTTGTGGTAGGGTTAATAGAGTTGCTTTTTTTAGTGTTTGTAAACGTTTTTGTTGAAGAGTTCTCATTAATGTTAGAAGTATCGTAAATGAAGCTAGAAAACAGTCTGCTTGTCCTAAATGGGCGAGCGTGAACATCAATTTGTCTGTTTAAGTCATCACGCAAACATCATCAGCCTATAAATGCCCACTGCTGAGCAAAGGTCTCATCTCACAAAGAGAAGGTTTGAGCATTAATCACCACGTTTGCTCAAGGCGGATTGGCGATTTCAAACTTATAGAAATTATAAGTCTAGGTTTGCTCACGATGTTTGCCTTTACCATATGTCAGTGGTGTCTAAATAATCATAGAAAGTACATATAACTCGGAAAAAGTCATATTGAAACTTGCCAAGTTTCGAACTCTCGGGGCTACTAAGGCCCTGAGGTTTAAGTTCCACCACATTAGGTGTTAAGTCATAACAAAACCAATTTATTCTACTGATAACCAAAAATGGAACAAAAACAACTGAAAATAAAGTTCAAAATCATTTATCAACAATAAATACCTACCTATTTCTGTTTAGACTCGCAGATTTGATGGAGCAACATAAAGAAGAGTTGGCGACAATAGAATCCATTGACTCGGGTGCAGTATACACGTTGGCACTGAAGACGCATGTCGGCATGTCTATTGAGACTTGGAGATATTTTGCTGGGTGGTGCGACAAGATTCAAGGGACTACCATTCCTATCAACCACGCTAGACCTAACAGGTAACTGACAAAAATACATATTTTTATTATTTAAAAATGCGTTGGTTTTTCTTTTGTGTCGTGGGTAAAAGCTCAAAACCGGTCTATCGTTCAACTAAATCTTTGTTCGGACTATTTAGTAGATAGTTTATGTGAAGTTTGCTCGAAATCGGACGAGCAGTTATACCGTTGGTGAGGATATTATACGTAATTTAATTGTAAATATGTTATTTATACCAATATCGAATAAACTAGTTTATTTTATTTGACTGGAAACTTAATACCTAGGAGTAGGAACCTTTTAAACCTCTTTTGTCTTGTGATGATTGGAGTACAATATCTTGAGTTTGGACCCATTATGGTTGCCAATATTATTTTGTATCTTAAAAATTAGGTATTTTAGATTCTAAACTCAACATTGTTGCATTAGTTAGTGGCAAATAAATTATTTTGCTTTCTTTTCTTTCTATGCCCAGGGCTTTTATTTTGATTTTTAGAATATCACTTTAAAAAAAACATACAAACTCGACATTTATAACATCAATTTGTATATAAACAAATATTTATTTCTACAGAAACTTGGCAATGACGAAGAAGGAGCCTATCGGTGTGTGTGGACTGATCACCCCATGGAATTACCCGCTGATGATGTTATCGTGGAAGATGGCCGCCTGCCTCGCCGCCGGCAATACTGTCGTCATGAAACCCGCCGGTGTAAGTATCATTATTCATAATATTATTAGACTAGCTACTGTCCCGCGGTTTACCCGCGGGCGCGGCTGCTACAGATCATAGATAAATAAACCTTCCTCGATAAATAATCCATTCGCCAAAAAAAAATTCAATTCGAACCAGTAGTTCCGGAGATTACCGCGTTCAAATAAACAAACAAATTGTTCAGCTTTATAACATTAGTATTGATTAAGTACATATTTTTGTGTGAAAAGTTATTTTAACATTAGCAACAAAAAATCTTTTTATTTAGTTGCGGTTTAGGTTCATTTTTGTGTCACAATTTCTTCAAATAAAAATTATTTATGATTCATAACAGACAGGCATGTTTTAGTCGTATCCAATGAAAGATAATTAAAGATATTGCGAAAAATGAAATTAAAAACTTAATTCATATCTCTATCACTACATAGCATTAAACAAAAACGCCATAATTATACCCATGTATGCTTAAATCTTTGAAACTACGCAAAAGATTTAAGCTTTTTAATGCGTTTTCGCAAGCAATTTCGGACTATTTAGTAAACGTTCTATGTGAAATTTAGTTTAGCAAAATGCCTTTGAGAAAAAAACCTTAAAATGTTTCCATATTATCATTACAATCCTCCATTCCCAGGTATGTCCTCTAACAGCGCTGAAGTTCGCGGAGCTGTCTGTCCGCGCGGGCATCCCGGCTGGCGTCATCAACATCATCCCCGGCAGCGGGACCGTCGCGGGACAAGCACTCGCCGACCACCCCCTCGTTAGGAAACTCGGCTTCACTGGCAGTACTGAGATTGGTAAGCACAATTATTATTTATAACGCGACTATTTTTATGTAGTAACATATTGTGAGACATATAAAATACTAGCTTCTATATATATGTTAATAAAAAGTAGCCTAAGTATGTCGTATTCCGGAGTGTATTCTATGCCTGTGCCAAACTTCATCCGGATCCGTCCAGCAGTTTTGGCATGATTGAGTAACAAACATAGTAACTTTCGCATTTAAAATAATATTAGTAATTGTAAGCAAGCTTTTACCCGCGGCTTCGCTCCCGTCATTTGACTCCCGTCAGTCGACTCAACAGTCGTTGTGACTTGAAACTAGTAGCCTCTTTAATAAGTGTTAAAAATTTCCAAACTTACTATGACTATTAAAGTTGTGTTGTGAGATTTTCTTGATGAAATCTACTTCAACTCCTAGCTATCAAACACAAATCAAAAGTTCCTCTGAGATTTGTTATCGATGCCTCCTTAATAGTAATTAACAATTTCTGTTTCGCACTACTACATTCGTATTACTATTACTTTTTTATTAAAACTTTTTTATTGGGGTTTTTATCCTGGCTGTAATAGGACACATGGCAACCCCATAGGGTCCATCATTAGATTCCCACTACTTTCATAATTGCAGAATAATAACAGCGGTATAACCTTGCAGGTCAAACTATAATGAAGTCATGCGCCGCCTCCAATATGAAGAAAGTCTCCCTAGAGCTCGGAGGCAAGTCGCCGCTCGTTATCTTCGAAGACTGTGATCTAGACAAAGCTGTTAGAAACGTAAGTTATTTTATTAAAATAAAGTTTTTAGTTTTTATAATGAAACACTTGGTAATTGATTCTTCTTCAAACCTTATTGTTGATTGTATGCTGGTTGTTATTTCGATTAAGAAATATTGTGAGCCCCGTTAACGGCTTGAAAATGGTCGCGCTCCCTCGAACGGTCACTACATACATAGCATAAAACAAAGTCGCTTTCTCTGTTCCTATGTATGCTTATGTTTAAAATTACGAAACCAATTTTGATGAGGTTTTTTAAAGATATAGTGATTGAAGATAAAGTTTTAATAACAACTTTCTATCACACAGGGTATGGCATCTGTATTCTTCAACAAGGGCGAGAATTGCATAGCAGCTGGTCGTCTGTTCGTTGAGGAGACTATTCACGACGAGTTTGTACGTCGCGTCGTGGCCGAGACTAAGAAGATGACCATCGGCGACCCACTACACAGAGGCACGGCACATGGACCACAGAACCATAAGGCACACATGGACAAACTAATTCAAGTATGTACTCCTTCATAGTTCATTCTTACTTCGTATTTTTTTTTTTGTATAATGTTGCCCCACACTAGCATTTTCTCCCATGTCGTGGGTGCGGCACAAACATACAATTTCATATACTCATCACACGCAAACCCGCAACAACAAATTGTGGATCACACAAAGAGTTGTTCCAAAATCGAACCTGCGACACGTTGCATGGCAGCTAGTTGCCCAGCCACCGCACCAACCGTGCAGTCAATTTCCCAATGTCGTTTGCTATTAACCATTGTTGCCGTAGATGTACTTGTGACATCAATGATTTATTTTTTAATATTTCGAAATAAGCTGTTTAAAGTGTTAAACGTACAAAAAAACTTTAAGTCTAAAATAAATAAAACCAAACCTAAAAAAGGCCTGTAAAAGGACGTAAGCTGTGATTGTTATTTCATTTAAGACTACAGAAATAATTACATTTCTTATCTTAACATTATTAAGTGTCTGACACTGAATATCCCCTCCTCTCAAGAACAAAAAACAGGCAAATAAAGACTTGATTTTGAGTTTCTCAGAAACCCTAATTCCTAAAAAGCCACCCGTACAACACACCCGTAGCTCCTCTAGTGTTGTGGGTAGGATCATGTAATCTGTCTTTCTTAATCTAAACATGTATTTCGTTTCCCACAGTTCGTACAACGCGGTGTAAAGGAAGGCGCGACATTAGTACTGGGTGGCAAGCGCGTGGACCGGCCGGGTTACTTCTTCGAACCGACTGTGTTCACCGACGTACAGGACGACATGTGGATCGCCAAGGAAGAGTCCTTCGGGCCTATCATGATCATCAGCAAATTCAGTAGCAAGTGAGTGTCAAAATTTATGTAAGGGAATCATTAACTCAGAAAATGTTCCAGTAACAGTACTGGAACATTTTCTACATAATGCTCAATACTGGGACTGGTACAGACCAGTCCCAGTATTGAGCATTATGTTCAATGTATACAAGTTATTAATGTCAGAAAAATCTGACTAATATTAATGTGTTGCTATTTTAATGGAAGTTGATAAAGTGTTATCCGTTTTCTTTCTTTCTTTTCTTTCTTTAAGTAGTAACCTTTGCTTTGCAATAGGAGAGATTGCCTTCGATAGGAGAAATGAAAGCACTGTTTAAAAAAAGCAACTACAAAATTAGCTACAAAGACAAGAAATTCCGTCGAAGGCTCTCTAGATTTATCAAAATAAGCTCCTTAGTATTGGAAAATATATAACTTTTATTTAAATTCTCCCAGAAACATGGACGACGTGATTCGTCGCGCGAACAACACGGAGTACGGCCTGGCGAGCGGAGTGTTCACGCGGGACGTATCGCGCGCGCTGCAGTTTGCAGAGCGCATCGACGCCGGCACCGTCTTCGTCAATACATACAACAAGACCGATGTAGCCGCGCCCTTCGGAGGTTTCAAACAGTCTGGATTTGGCAAGGATTTAGGTATGTCCACTTCTTTAAAATTTGGAAAGATTAGATATCATGGTGTAAATTTCCTCATCCTCCATTGAAAAGGGAGGATCCTCCGATCAGACGTGTGTAGTGTCTGGTGGGATACTGCCCGACGCTTTTTGTCGGAATTTTGTACCTGTTCTAATTGCGTCAAGAACTGCAAAATACTGCTATGTGGAATATTGAATGTGATTGGTGCCGTTTCTGCATGTTGTGTCGAGATTTTGTTATATTTTTGACCATACAGATGGTGCAATGGCTATGCAACTGGCTACTGTACGACGTATCGAGGGTTCGATTCCCGCACGGAAAAACACTGCGTAATTCACTAATTGTTGTTCCGGAACTGATGAAAATCCTGGATTATGAATTACCTTACTTAAAAATTTCTTGATTTATGTAACTTCTCTATTTAGAACTTTAAAGAGGTTATATGAAAAATTTAAAAGTACAATACTCTATCTAGTTACATTATTGGCCTATTCTAATAAACTTATTCAAAACCTGTATCAATGCCTCTCTGAACATAATCGTCATAAATCTGTCCATCAGCAGTGACTTTTAGAAGTATATTAATTAATAACTTTATCATTTATTTTCAGGACAAGAAGCTCTAAATGAGTACCTCAAGACGAAAAACATCACGATCGAGTACTAGGATAGATGAACTGATTAAATAATTATGTCAAAAAGTGCCTAATTTTTGAGAAAAGCCTTGCAGTTTCCTATTATGAACTGCAGTTTTAGATATTAAACGTTGTTTTTTTATATTTTATAACGTAAAAACTAGTTATTCTAAGTCTATTTATGTAAATACAAGACATTCTAAATGTATTCCTTAGATCTACAAGTACAATATAGCTGTAAATTCAATGTAAATATTTAGTTTTAAGAAACGTTTTTATATAGTAACGATGCATAATAATGTTAAAAATTAAATATACAATTTGTATTTAAAAACTTTATTTTGTTAAAAACATTATTGTTTATTTAAATATAACTTCTTCACAAAATTTTACTTTGTTTTCATTTAAATTACCATCAAGGAGATTACTACTTACATAAACATACTATAATAATTTAGTTAAACATAAGATTTTTCAACCATTCCCTTTGCGAGTCCGGTTTAGGTCTCTTGTCCCATTTTTCAAGTATCTCCTTTCTGTAATAAGGAATTATATATATTGAACTAAATATCTACAACTAGCGTCAAATATTATTGTGTGAACAGAACAACTTTATCTTACACAATGTTGTACCCAGGTAAAAACCCCAGTCTATGTGTTATTCCAGACTAAAGTATGTATCTATGCTCTATTCTAAATTTCATTCCGATTCATTCAGTAATTTAGAAGCAAAAGAGTAACAGCCACTCCAAAATACTAACTTAATAGCTTTTAAAATTTTGGTTAACGATAAACGCGACTAATTCTTGCTCATGAGCCAATGGCGTTTAGTTTCAGTTAATTTATAATCAAAAGGTTCACAAGGTAATGCCTTACCGAATATCTTGACGAGTTTGCAAATGTTTCGGATCGCCTGCGAGGGTAGATGATGAGCAAGACTGAGGGTTGCCACTCTCGTAAGTGTTGGATCCATACCCGAAGCTAGGCGTTATAGCTATACGCAAGTTATGGAGCTGTTCGGTTTCTGAAGGTCTGTAAATTAATACGTAGGTAATTTTAAAAACTGTACTTCGATATTGGCTTCACGGTTGACGAAGTGGCCGGACTGCAATGCAACGTTTGGGTGTTTATTCCCTCGCGGAACATCACTTTGTGTGATCCACAAATTGTTGTTTCGTGTCTAGGTTATTTATAGCTTGTATATTTCAAAAATCGTAGTGTGAAACAACTTTTTTAAACCTATTTGGTTTCGATTACCTAATACAAATTATATCATTTCAATCTGCATCTCTAGTAAATCCTCCGAGATATAAATCGCCGGTTTGCGACAATAGCGACGAAACCAAAAATGACTGACATTAAAGATTGGCATTTTGCAGATTGCAGCAAGTGAACCTTTACACACGAACACAGATTGGCGCTCTAGACTCGACCAAGTGACCTCAGAAGGAGATCGAACGGAAGACGGTGGCGCAATAGATGAGCCGCCATGTAAATGAGGCTCGAGGGAGATACTTGTTTCTCTACGCTATGAGCTATATCTAACAGGAGTTGCAGTATGAGAATGTCTATAAGAGGGCCTGGTGTCCTTTACTGGGCATGGGTGGTTTTAGTGAGATCGTTCCAGACAGAAATCCCACACTTTTCTTTCAGCCCAAGAAGGTAGGCAAGTTTTGAAAGTTTCCGATACCTACTGAAATATAATTAAAAACATACTTTTCGGGTATAGGAAGTGAGCTGGGAATCACATTGTGCCTCGTGAAGGTCGTTGGAAGACAATTATTTAGTTTTTTCTGAAATAAAGTACAAAATGTTATTCATTTTTGCCGATGTATTTTTTTTTTCTTTTTAATGTAATCGATCGGCAAACGAGCAGACGGATTACCTGATGGTAAGCAATCAACGCCGCCCTTGGACACCCGCAACGGAGGAGTTACGAGTGCGTTGCCGACCTCTTAGGGATTAGGGTTTTGGATATTAAGGGATCGGGGGAGAGGAAGGATTGAGCCACCGATAACCTCACTCACACGGCGAAACACAACGCTGTGGTTGTTTCACGTCGGTTTTCTGTGAGGCCGTGGTATCACTCCGGTCGAGGGGACCCATTCGTGCCGAAGCATGGCTCTCCCACACTTAAAACCCACTCCCACACTTGTCCTACTTATATCTATTTAATAGTGAAGCGTTTCTGGATTCGATAGTGGATAATTAAAGTAGGTAGTATTAGCCCCAACTTACCTATATAAATTTCAAAAAGTATGAACAATTTAAAAGCAAAGAACTAGAAATTATCTTGGAAAAAACAATTTTAAAAGTTCTGATATTCAGCCGAACACTATAATATTATAAGAAAATAGAAAAAGATCAGAAAAACTAAAGAAACTATTTTTATTCTATGCATAACTTACCGACAAATTATATGCAGTACTTCGAACATGAAACATTTTTGCCTTTACCTATTTCTCCTATTATTAGAGGCAAAATATAGAACAAAAAATATACTTAGTACTAGAATTTTAACGCCGGACCATATTCTATTTCACTGTGATTGATGTAAACTGTCAAAGTAATTATTTATAATATTACAAGAATGTAGGTAATGGTCGTTGCCAAGAGTTTTTAAGGAGGATGTTCCTTCTCCTGCTTTAGGCCGCATGGATCAGATACTCTGAGGCCGCAGTATCTGACCCATAACCTTGGCAGAACTGTGTCCCTCTTCAGCTCCATCTGTAGTGGTCTTTAGCATTCAAATAAACTTTCATAATATACGAGTGCCGTCGCAAAATCGCTTCCAGCGCTATCCAAGCATGTTCTAGTGTAGGAGAGCCATGCTTCGGCAAGAATGAATCCGCTCGACTTTGGTGATACAACCGCTTCATAGAAAATCGGCATGAAATAACCACAGGGTTTTGTTTCGTTATGATAATACTATCTGTCTAAACCTCTTCTTCTTGTACTCCCTCTCCCAAACACTCCCAAATCCCTAAATATACCCTGATCACTAAAAGACCGGCAACGTACTCATAACACCTTTAGTATGGCTATTGTATTGTCCATGGGTGGCACCAATATTGCTTGCCATCAGGTAGTCCGTCAGCTCGTTTGTCGTCCTATAACATAAAAAAAAATCGCAAGATAAAGAGCAAGTGCCAGCGCACAGATTACAAAAAAAAATATAAATGCTGGACCGTCATTTTCCTCACGAATACCAAAATCGAATATTTAAATGCTGTTAATTAAGCAAATGAAATAACAAAACGTTTGGTATTACGTCAAATGACAAGTGACAGATGTCATTTTAACGAGTCAAAATCAGATGTTTGTTTCTGATTTTCGAAAAGCAAACGTAATTAAAAAATAATCTTAATTCACTTAAGTTGTAAATATATTTAATATTATAAAATGAGCAAGGCAAAGGTAGCGTTGCGCGATATTTCGCCAGTGATGCAAAAGCTAAGAGATTTCCTTCTAGGAGTGAGTATAAATTGTTTTGTTTTGGTTTATTATGTAACGGGAAAGTATTGAGTATTTAAATGGCTCGCATTTGTTTTTAGAGGAAACATACTAATGCGTTACGCTTTGAGCCACTTGTGGCGGCTAGAACTCAGCCACCACCGCAGATCCCTGACGGATCATCTCACAAGTGAGTATGAAATTATAACCTAATTTCAAGTTCAAATTGCATTATTATTAAAGTAATTTTCAAATATCTTTTACTAAAACTCGTCAAAGTTTAATTCAGAGTTTTATTTAGGGATAAATTTAACTTCTTGTAATAAATAATAGAAACAATTTACTTTTCGCGAAGAAAGTGTTATTACAACTGTTTAAATTATATTTTTCAGGCACGCTCAAAACTACTACTATACTCGGGATGGCCGCCGTGAAGTAGCTCCACCTATGGACTTGACAAAGCAGCTCTTATCAGCTAGCAGTGACAAGGGGTAAGCAAATAAAATATCACATCTCACATCACACATCATCAGTCTATAAGTGCCCTCTGCTGAGAAAAGGCCTCTTTTCACACAAAGGAGTTTGAGTATTAATCACCATACTTATTCAAGGCTATTTCAAAATTATAATTTGAAGCTATAAGTCCAGGTTTTCTTCAATATATACCAGTGGTGTCTTAATAATCTTAGAAAGTACATAATAACTCAGAAAAGTCACATTGGTACTTAACAGGTCTCAAACCCTCGAACTGGGCCAATAAGACTTCTGAAAATTAATTTAGTTTTAATTAAATCTTTATGGAACCATCTTTATTTAAATTGTACATTGGCAAACTGCAATACTGTTATATCTGTCACTATTACCTATACTTTTATACAAACAACAAGAACATAATTCAAAAATTGTGATATAAAACTATTGTAGCTATTAAGTTATAGAGACAATTATGTGTTACAAGTGGCCTCTCACTCCATTACCCTGGTTTTCTATTAAATTTTTCTTTTCCTTACAATTTTTAATCATCCAATTCTCTGAACCATTTGTAAGTAATATACATGAGTATTAATTAATTCACAGTAATATTTAACATTTGTTTTATTAATTGATGGATATTAATATTTTTCATAATGCCATTTTATTTCCAGAGCACCAAAGCAAGCCGCTAATGTAAGACCTACGCCTGGCCCCGTGTACCAGTGGGACAAACACTATGAATAAATAGTAGCCAATTTATTGAATTATCAAACCAATGTCAGAAGTTTTTAAGTTAAATAAAGTTTATGTAGAATAAGGGCAGAACATTTTCTGATTATTATAATACACCTTTGTTTTTGAAAAAAACAACAGATGGCTTTTCTCGCAGAGTGTGGCCGCAGTACCTTATTGATCTTACCCAGCAACCCTGTTTGGCCACATCAGTGGTGGTAGTATTGTCTCTTTGAGTCGCGTACGGAACCCTACGCTCCACGTTTATGCTGAATGGAGATTAACTGTGGATTGAAAAACATTGTTATTGGAAGAACTATTAAATACTCAGTTCAATATTTAATAGTACCTACCATGTAGGCGCTAATTCTCAGCTCTTCCAACCAACATAGAAGCCTAGTGAAGTCTTATCTGTTCTTATTGATGGTAAGCAATCGGCGTTGCCGCCAGAGCCTATCGTTGCCTCGATTGGGGTTTTTAGGATACATGTAGATGGAGGATTGGGCCTTACAATCACCTGGCTCACATTAGATTAGCAGCTTAGATACTCTACAACAGCGACAACACGCTTTTTAGAAGATATTGTAGGTAAATAAAAAAACAACATTTTACTACGCACCCGTGTATTTTCTACAAAAAGGCAATGCATAAACAATAACAATATGTTTATTTTTTTACAAATTCTTAAGTATAGAAACATTTGCCAAACACTGATCATACAAACATCAAACACGCTAATGACAAAAATCCCTCAAATCCTAGTCACATACAGAGTACCTCACATATGCAAACTATGTATATACAGAAGTTATCAAAATATTCTACATCCCAATACTTGAATTTAATTAGTACAACTATTATAAGCCAGTTTTTACCACTTCAAGTTAATTGTCAATAAGTATTTATTGGCAGATAAACTTACTTTAACTAAGGCCGTGGTAAAACAGATCCTTAATTTCAAAGTTACATGATTATGCATTTTGTTGTCTACACTATTATATTATACAACTTAATGATGCTATTCAACATTCAAATACGACACTGCTATTTCGAATTCTTATTTTAAAATATACATTCCATTGGCTAATAAAGTCTATGATTGGCTCCATTATGTACCTACCTACACTACTAGTATCTCAAGTTAATCCTTACTCATAAGATTATTGCTAAACAATTTATTATATTGAATTAATTTTATGGTATGGTGGTTATTTTCTAAACTTGCCAACTTATCTATTTACACATAGAATAGAAGATATATTTATAATCATCTAATATTTAAGATAGTATTTAAATAGTACTATCAATTACCAAAGAATATCTTTTACAAAACCTTTATTTCTAGCCTTTTTACATTAGTATTTTATAACATTTAGTCTGATACTTAAAGGGATGTGAAAAGTAGTTTGGAAACTAGAAGAAAAAACAGCTAAGTTGGAAAACTGATCAATAACATCGAATATAAATTCACACTTACATAATACATAATCAGGATCTTAATTGTAAACTACATCGAATGGAGGATGCAAAACTTATTTTTTTTAACATATTTTATTCCAATATACATCTCAAAGACACTACATTACATCTACTGCTTACATTATCAATATTCGAGATGCGATTCGTCTCCAACACCCTAACATGTTATCTCACTTCAATAATGCCCTAACTGTTAAATAGATGAAGATATCGACTGACCTGCCTCCAATGAATATGACAAAAAAAGTCAGTTGATAACTCTGGATACTGTAGATGAAAATACTTTCTACTTATCTCTAAGCAAAAGGTATAAGTAACATATTATTAAGTAAGCGGGATTAATGCAAACTCAGTCTGCTTGAGACCACGACCTGTGCAATCAGGTCTAAACTTCAAGCCTTCCAAGGCATTTTAATAATAATAAAATTACTTTTCGCGTTAATACCCGTTTAATAATATGTCGTCAACATGAAACGCGAAAGTATAAAAGTTGGTGTAATTAGGGGTGATTTTTCAATGGTTAGATAAAATTTAGCTGGGGAATAATTATGTTGCTATCGCGTCAGAATGTTTGTATAAGACAGTGACAGCAACAATTTTATCCCTAAGATAACATTTATCTGACTATTGAATAATCTGACCTTAGATAATTGAAAAAAATACTCTAATCATCACTTGAGTCGGTGGTGTCTGGCGTGCGGATGTGCATAGTGGAGAAATTGCCAAAGCTGAAAGCTCTTTTTCTCGGAGGCCTACGCGACCTATATTTAAACTTTTGTCATTTATCGTCTCCGTGTACTTGTTTTCTGAACTGCATGGCGTCACCGTAGGCCTTTTTCACGGCTTTACGGTCGGTTGGTTTTCGGGATTCGACTAATTTAGCTTGGTCCACGCTCTTGTCGAGGCCTAGAGGCTCTAGTTTGTTGGGGGGAAGCCATTGCCAAGTTCGTTTGACGTCAAAGAATAGTACAAGGTATAGTATGGGCTCGTGTGCGTGGTTTTTCTTGAGGTTAAGCACGTCCTGCGGCGGTACTGGTAGCGGTACTCCGTTGTATATGAAGCCTTTTGGAATCTTCGGGTCGATTATCAGGGCCGGGTACCAGGGGTAGCCTCTGTGGAGTTGTTTATATTAGTAATAAATGTATACGATATTGAAATTAAAATAAATGTTGTTTTTTTATCTTCTTACTTAATAAGAGTGTACAAGGTATTACATGTTTTAACATATGAAATTTCAAAAAGTGCCAGTCCTGTCGTGGGGTTTAATTATCTACTATAACATTATTACGTACAAAGTAATGAATATAAAATGAACTTACTGTAGTTGTAATACCGACCTGCATTTAGCCCAGACAAGTTGTAGCGGCTCTAGTTGTAAAGTCGACGCTTGCGCACACTTGACCGGAGTTTTTGAAGTTGAAGATCTTGTCCCTCGACCCTGTATAACGAAATATTACGTTACAAACGCGATATATATCTAATTAAGTTGTACACATCGATCACTAATAAAGAACTAGATACACAATCCCATACAAAAGTTCGCTTCAAAACTGTCGCCAACTGTATTTAGGTACTATATATAGTATACTATACTATATTAGTATACTTGAAATAAAAATGCATTAATGTAAATTAAACCTTAAATGCAACTCATAGAGTTGTTTTTACAAAGTGATGTACAAAATCTTAATACTTTTTGCGACCGAAGCTCTTGACAAACACAAATCATAAGAAATTGAACCATATTCGCATGTTTTTAAGTCGAATTTACAAAGTGTCAAAAATAAGCAATAAAATTTAATGACTTCGGCTCACCGCTAGGACAAAGAATGATTAGAGTCGAAATGTCTCGTAAGAAATATATTTCGTTCGTATTTTATAATTTATCAAAAAAAGAAAATACGCAAATTAAAACGCATTACTTATAGTTTTTTTTTCTATAGGTTTGTTCATTTATTTACCAATGAAACTAATGCATATAGTTATAATTCTTTTTTTTTTATTTTCGTCCTCCTTAATCCTTTCTATTCGAAGTCAAATAAAAAAGATGTAAAATAATAAAAAGAATATATATCTAAAGTAAGTACTGAAAATGTTGGCGTTATTGTTGTCAATTTTTCATATCGAACGGGTCTTGATGAAAGCTAAAAAAAAAAATTTATTTACTGCAGTTAAAATTAAATCCATTACATCTGCCTATTCCATATTTTAATAAACACAGTAAAGAAGTATAATATTAAATAAAAACTATTTTTTAATAAAAAAAAACAATAAATAAAATTAGAAACGATAGCGTCTCCACTAAACGGAACAGAATCAATCCACGTAAACCGAACAACTTAAGTGGTCATGCTAGAGAATGATTTTAAGTTTGGTATAAGTGTCTTTATAAACTGTGTGCATTATAACCCCGGTTTTTGAATACGATTTCATTTGGAAAAAATTTTAAAGTTGATTTCTTAATAAAATATCAATATTTAAAATAGAATGATGACAATTATATAATGATAATATTATTACTTAACGAAAATATGAAATTCCATCCTTTTTTGCATCTTAGATGTGTGTGTTTTTGCAGTTTTTTAACGAGCACTGAGGCGTGTTTACCGTCGGAGCATTCGAGTGGTACTAAACTAAAACTACACCGCGATGTTGAGTTTGGTGGACTTTCAGTTGGGACATTTTTTTGCCACTGATTGTGTATCTAGTTCTTTATTAGTGATCGATGGTTGTACATCACAATTTTATCAACTATTGACGCGTTGGCTGGGCAACCAAAACTTGCAAGTTGCCGTAAGTTTAATTCCCGCACGGAACAAACCTTTGTGAGATCCTCAAATTGGGTTTGAGGGTGATGTTTATGTATGCTTGACTATGCAACCACGACACAGGATAAAATCCTAGGTTGGGCAACGTTTTTTTCAGCAAGCGATTCGCTATATAATAAACAGTACCCAACTCACAATAATCAAATTGGATTGAAAATAACATGGATTGGAACTTTTTACACGTAATTTTTTTGTTTAAGAAGTCAATACATATTATCTACATTTTTACGGTATATTTTCAAACTATATCTTATAAGAAATAATTAATATTTAGAATATTTCAACTATTAGTATTTTAAGTCGATTTCTCGTTAAAGAAATGTGACGCTTCATTTTTTTTCTTCTGCAAATCTGAAATTTCTTTGAATGAATCACAACTAAAAATCTGTGGTTTTAAAAAAAATTGTACCTATATTAGAGTGTGGTATAAAATCATAAAATGTAATAATAATAATGGATTACTTTGACGGGCGTGGTGGGCTCTGCGTCGGAGACGTCAGTGTTGGGCGCGCTGCGGCGGGAGCGGCGGCGCGGCCCGCTGCCGGCCGGACTGACCGCGCCCGCCCCGCCCGGCACCGAGCACGGGGCCGGGTCGCCGAAACTGGACCTAGTATCCCTAATATTTATTGAACAACTAGTTATAATGAGCACTTTGACAACTTTTATTCGAACATTTGTGATTGAAGACCTACAGTTTAAAAGAAAATCAACTCTTAAGTACAAATTACTGTGATAAAAAACTATAAAATTTTTTGGTTGATATTTTTGGTTTATTTTTTTTTTTATTTGTTACTTTCTTATTCATAAATTTGAATTTGGAGTGCGTACATTCTAAAAAGATGTAAGAGCCAAATGACGTCATACGTACAATCGAACGGCGGTACAACCGTTTACTTCACTGAGATAAAAAAAAATGGTTTCAAGTTATTACGTACCCGTCAGTGGAACTCATAGAGCAGGAGTGGTCCGACGCGTCCCCGTCTTCGTAGTGCGTGCACGACGAGCAAGACTGCGACCACGCTGAACTGCTCGACGACGATCTGCAATATTATAAAACAATGAAACAAAAAAACATTGCAAATAGGCCATAAGACGGCCCGTTTGATGAAGCCGGGCATGAAGCCGGATTACAATTACGTCACTAAATAGCACTATAACAAAAAATGGGTAAAAAATTATAAAACCGTAAACAAATAAAAAAAATTGTATTTTAAGTATTCACAATCAGGTATTTACATAAAACTATGTTAGCTGATAAGTTTCAAGTCAATCGATGATTTCAACTCCTTAGAAAGTACAATGTAATTTTCTCTATAATATGTTTATTAAAGTAATGTAAAAACTATTTAAGAGTTATAATTACCTGGAGAGCGCAAGATCACTGTCGGAGCCGACCTCGCCGGGCGGGCCGCGGTATTGCAGGAACGACGCGGGCACCGGCGTCGACACACTCTTGCCCTCGCCGCCTTGAGCCGACCTGATCGCCACACAACACAATTACTACCTTACCGGCATTGGAATACCAACTAAAATGCAATAAGCCCCGTTGTACCTATGTACAGACACTAGCAATTATATCTGGAGGCTTTTAATAGTAGTGGTAATCATTTTAAAAGATGGTAATCTTTCCTCTCCTAATAATAATAATTTATTTAAGTCAATTCCATACATATTTTTAGCTCTCAGTATAGGTCCATAAATTTTGCGTAGAGATTATTAAGGGAAGAAGAGGGTCGAGTCAAATGGTATCTAATCTCATGGGAAGAGAGGGGTCTTGACAAATACCACGTAATATTATAAAGATTGAAACAAAAACTACGAAAAAAATATAAAAATAGGTATTCTATTATTATTGTTATTTTCTAGTCGAAGGTACTAGTCGTTAATAAATAATAAAAACACGAAGCCAATTTGTTTTTGTTTTTATAATAACAATCTAATGCGTTGACGTTAGACCGACATCCTGAACAATCTGGATTTGGGTTGGGGAAAGGGTAAAACAAAATCTCACGACATCTCAGCAAGGGGATAGGGAGGGATAGAAAATGAAAAAAGCACCTCAAGTATTTATGAAATGTGTCTTTGTTTTAACACAGATTTGATAACATTAGCGTTAACTAGTAAAGTGATTGACACGGGACGATGAAGGCGAATTGCGATCAACATACGCCCGACGTGAAAAGATCTTCAACTTTATTAATTCGCAGTAAGATTGAAAATATACCACATAAATTGTATAAATTATGGCAGATTAATGCTAGTGTCTGTACCTTATCATATAGTATTACTAATAATATGTTGAAACTAATTCCCTTCTTCCGAAGCTAGTTAGAAGCACTGATCAAAAATATAATCTACCGCTAAATCTAATAAATATAAAACCAAAAAGTTTTGCACCAAGAATGAACTTATTTTCATTAATAAAATATCATTTTGCAGAAAAGAATCGAGATAATCTGTTAAATAAAATATCGATATTTCGAATTGAAATTGTGGTAAATCACTTATTTATGAAATAAATAGTTTTAATGAAACAACACTTTGTGTGATTTACAAATTGTTGTTATGCGTCTGGGTGGCTTGTGTGTGTGAATTTTTATATTTGTAAAAGCACCCACAACACAGGAGAAATAAAATTATTATTATTATTATAGAGAAAAGTTGACTTTACATTTAATATTTTACATCTTTGTTTACCCCAACTTGGTTTCCCTCTTTCAATTATTTTATGAAGTGTTAATCAGATTCTAAGAGTTACTGTAATAAACATCAACATTTTTTAATTAAGATACTTGTATTTCAATATTGCAAAGCGGTGCAAAGCTTTTAAGTATAATCAACCGCACACTAGTAGTATTAATGAATAGCTACACAAATATAGATCTTACTGCCAATAAAATAAAGGAAGTTACTGCAAATACGACTGGCGTGCGGTTAAGTATATAAAACTATGATAATTATAAGCGGTTTTGTCAAGGTCCGCTAAGAGACACAATCTTCTCCACAAAATATATATTTTAAATATAATACTTAGTATTTTATTTAAGCATATTATTTTATAAATAAGTTATATTGTGCTTAACCATAAACCGATCTAATTAAAAGCTGTTAAAATGTATCAAAAGTATCTTCCCACCACCAAAAAGGCTCAGTGCCTGACCAATAAAAATATAATGGAATTATCTATGGACTCTTTACAATAGATTACAAAAAATTTAAAGAGATTTGTTGATTGTAAAAAATATCGCGGTACAATTGGGCAGTTCCTCAGTCAAAAAGAAAATATTAAAAGTTGTGAAATCATAAAAATAAAAACATTTTAATATTCTTATTTTTCAGATAATTCAAATAGCCAATTTATCTGTATTTCGAAGTAAAAAATATAACGTCACAACGCGATAGTTCATACTAAATAAATAGAAAATGGTCGATTATATTCTTCGGAAAAAGTATTAAATTGAACAAGTTGGAAACTATACCACTTTGTTTCTTCAAATAATATCTTTTGTTAAATGCAGAGAGCGAGTTTAGTCTACAAAAAATCTTTAAAAAAATCCGTCCATAGATAATATCCGTCAAATAAAATTGTACCTAAATAGATCTGGCGAGGATGTGGATTTGTCCTTATCTTGCTTGCGGGGTCTGCCTCGCCCCTTCTTCTTGGGCGAACTCTCTAAGCTGGACCGACCCAAACTGGCTGACAATGTCGGCAACGACGCTGTTTGTGATATTGTAAAAAAAATAAGAAGCAAGAAAATTTTGTTTGGCTATAAAACCGGCCTTAAATCGTAGGCCTTAAAAGTTAAAATTAAATGAAGAAAATCATACCGTTACCGTTATTGAAGCGAGGTTAGTTTGTGACCAATTGAAGGATGAAAAAGGAAACATAGTTACCATCAGAGCCGAAGCTCTTGGGTGGCCCGGCGACTGTAGACGGCGATACCAGGAGGGTGGGCTTCCTAAGTGCACCCATAAGCCCCAGCCCTGTAACTGGCAACATTCCAACCTATTACAAGTATTTAGATAAAACTGATAACTGTTGCTAAGCGAAACTGTCACCTGCGAACCAAATTCTTTTGTTATCTTTTGCACACAGAGAACCTGAAATGTTGGACAAAAGTTGTATTACACGACATTTTCAAAAGTCGGTAATCACCAACTCAGAATAATTGCGATTAGCACGACGTTTCAAAAAAAGAAGTTGCAAAACATTGTAAAAATTAAAAATCGTTAGTATAAAGTTGCGTAGATGGCGCTTGTGTCCCTTTTGAGCTTGACGGTCCTTTTGGTATGAAATTGAGTATTTTCTTATTCTGTTCATTATTTCACAATCCGTGTACCGACCATCACAGAATATACCGCACAACTTACATTTAAAACGAATAGGTCCTAATAACATATACATTACATTTTTCTAATAACAATAACATATTTACTTTCAATATAAAAAATAAAAAAACACGTTAAAAATAATCATGTTTGTAACACTTACTTGAAAAAACCAACTTGGATCTTTTAAACATTTTAAATTAAGTCTTTTAAATAAAATATGTATTTTTTGTTATCGTTTATGGAGAAGATTGGTGATGGCGAGACCTGAACAAACAACGCTTGTTAAAAAAAAACAACAACATGTTTACTAACTTGGCGTTGTCTCTGGTTGTTTGACGGGTGATTTCTCTGGTGTTGCCAGCTTATGAGTTCGCTCCGCAGTGGTGCCCGGCACTGGTGTCTCTGATCCCGATGTTGGAGTATCTATAGACAATGACCATATGCATACATACTATTTAAATAAGTCCTTTTTTTCTGTGTAAAGGAATAAGATAAAGATTGAGTTAAGATGTCGAGCAAAAAATGGCTATTTTTGCAAGTTTTCATTTAACTTGCAACATATTGTTGTGAATTGTATTCTTGCAACAGTTTTGAAGCATATATCTTCAACCTATTGAGCTAACATTCTGTATAAACCTCTATACGCATGATATTGAATTTGTGATGTCACTTTAAATCCAAAATGGTGGAACATTCAAGACAATTGTAATATTATTGTAATTTTACAATAGGAGTAACAAATTAATTAAAATGTCTACTGTTCTATCCAGATGTCAAAAACGATACTTTTCTATGAAATTTGTATGAAACTCCAGACACATTATGACGTTACAGTATTTTTGCGTCAAGTAGCTTACACATATATCTTAAAAACCAGCTAAAAAATATCGAAAACTTAGTGTTGAATCATCTTCGATGTCGGATAAAACGGATATTTTTCAATATTTTACTGCATTGAAACGTCTAATTAATTTAGTTTGGACCGAGGAAACTATCTAATTAGAAAAGTGGAATATCATCAATCTAAATCCAAGATGGAGGATACCTAAATTACTTTTGGTATAGAGGAAAAACTACTAGTGTATTTACCGTTATCCATAGCACGCTGCGCCTGCGCAGGTTGTCGGCCCCGACCCCTGGGCCTGCCGCCGCGCCGCCCCCTCGTCCGGCCTCGGCCTCGGAGCCACGGCTTCGCGCGGCCTGACGCTGGTGATGTGGCGCGGTGAGACTGGTGATGATAAAAATATTTTGTGGTGGTGTGATATAACACTCAAATACGAAGTCTTACCCCCGGTTTCCGAAAGGCCGATCAATGTTAAAATCAATTTAATCTCTTGTCAAGTCATCTGATTTGTTGACTTAATTATAAACAACCAATCGGATGACTTGACAAGAGATTTAACAGGAGATTAGTTAATTTTAGCGTTGACAAGCCTTTCAGAAACCGGGTGTTAAACAAATAAAAAAGTGAACTTACAGCGATATTTTCATCGTCGGAGTCTTTCGTAGCGATGGACTGTCGCCTCTCACTGCGAGCTTTTGAAACGCTGCGGTCCTTGCGTCTCTCTGTAGATAAGCACATATAAAAATAACGATAGAACTCACTTATTTCACTGCCTCGATCTGATAACGCTTTTTAAGAGGAAATCATCAAATGACTTCTGTTATCTAGAGAAAGTATCAGATTCTTACTGACATAACGCGATCCTGTTTCTTCTCCTGCTCAGGGACAGGGCCGGAGTTCATTACTGCGCTTGTACCCGTAATCCCTTGCTGAACATCAGACCTTTTGTAGGCAGTGGTAGCACTTTGGAGAAACCCTAACTCTTGGATTAATTATTAATTACATATTATTATTAACCTCCTAAACTTGGATTTTAATCAGACGGCCAATAGCTGCGTTGCTTTACGGATATTTATGGTGAAGGGGGACGGGGCTGAGCGTGTCTATATCACGAAAATATTATTAGAAAGCGTTGTGTTTCACCATGTGAGAGGTTACCGAATTAAATATCCGAAACCCTTATCCCCAAAAGGCCGACAATGCACTGGTGATTCCTTTGGTGTCATGGGTGTCCATGGGCGGCGCCGATCGCTTACCATCAGGCAATCCGTCTGCTTGTATCTCATAAAAATAGTTTAATAATATAATGATAACATACCTGGCGTAGGTTCTCGCTCGCTCTCGCTAGTGGACCTCGGTCGACTGGCAGCGCGGCTGACACTGCGCCGGGACCGAGGGGGACTGGCACGACGGGGACTCGCAGTACTAGAGAGGGAGAGGGTATTTTCATGTATTCTACATCTATATATTATATAAAAATCTATATATTATATAAAAATACATCTATATATTATATAAAAATCAATGCCACTTTTCGTTGTAATGTTATAACTCAACAATGCCTTTACCGGTATAACTAATTTTGGTCTTAAATTATTCGAAGTCCAGAGAAAGTTTGTAAATAGAGAAAATTAAAAAAAAATCTTGTATAATTTTAAAATCGACATGCACGTTGGAGGAGCCGCGGGCGATCACTAGTATATCAACATTAAAGGTACACTATGATTTTTTCTTGTGTCGTAGACGCATTTCCATACATAAAATTTCACATAAACATCACACCCAGACACGAAACAATCATTGTGATATCACACAGAGTTGATTGAAGCGAGAATCGAACCCGTGACACGTCGCGCTGCAGCCGTGAAACAACCGTGCAGTTGTTACATGTTTAAACACATAGTTACCAGTTGCTAGGCGGACTCTCAGGTCCGGGAGTGGTGGGGCTGGTGGGGGGCAGACAGAGCGCCTGCAGGCCGGCCTCGCGTACATCACGCCGCGCCGCGCGGAACAGCGGCATACATTGCTCGCGCATCTTCACACCCGCCCTGGTCAACGAAAATTACACTTAATATCTCTTGTATAAATTTCATAATGTTATCTTAATCATTACGTGTGGTTAATTAAGTTTAAGAGAGTCATGCTTCGGCACGAATGGTGTGAGATACCACGGCCTCACAGAAAATTGGCGTGAAGCAACACTTATGGTGTGTTTCGCCGTTTGAGTGAGGTTATCAGAGGCCCAATTTTTCCCTTCCCTCAATCCCTCCCCAATCCCAAAATCTCCAAATCCCTAATCCACAAAGGTAGTATAAAAATAGTATATTTCCATAATACGGTAGTTTCCAACTAGTCAAATTCAATACTTTTATCCAAACGTCAAAAACGATACTTTTCTATGAAATTTGTATGAAAAACTGATCTATGACGTCATAACATTTTTGCGTCAAATAGCTTACTTATTTCACAATAATTAGCTAAAAAAATCTAAAACATGGTGTATCGATCGATCGATGAATAAAAGTATAGTTATTTTTCAATATTTTATTGTATTGAAACATCGAATTAATTTATTTTTGACCTAGGAAACTACCCAATTATTATTACATTTTAAATACGTTATGGCAGGTAAAATTATACTTCATTAATTATTATTACCAATGGAAAGCTTTATAATTTTTGTATACTTTGAAGACCCTCCCTCATTTTAAAAGGAATCTACATTTTTAATGTATGGCAAAGCTACACAATTCTTGTATTTGAGGTAATTCTTTTGAGGTTACCGGAGGCCCAATCCGTTCCCTTTCCCAAAATCTTCAAATCCCTAAACCCCAAAAGGTCAACAACGTACTCGTAACTCCGCCGTCGTTGTCCATGGGCGACGCTAATTGCTTACCATCAGGTAATCCGTTTGGTCGTTTGCCGACCTACTAAATAAAAAATAAAAAAATTCTGAAGGTCCTCCACCGTTTAAAAAGACTTAAGAAACAATACTATGAATTGACACTTTTGGACGTATTTATTTCGTCTTAAAAGACCATATTAGATTCACTTACTTGTAAAAAACGGTGTCCTTATTGTTGTAGGTTAGACAGTTGTCGATCATGAGCTTGAAGTCGGCCTCCATATCGTCTATGGTCGAATAGGCGCCGCGATCCAACTTCTTACCCATAGTGCTCAGGTCCATTGGATGTTTGACTATAGTACTGTAGTCTGGCACCTAGATGGATAAATTTTAGTTTTAGTATGTTGATATTTGTATTAATTTAATAGGTCTTGGGGCCCGGAGAGACTTAGCAAGTACCAATGGGTTGTTTTCTATTTGTGATCTTTCGAAGTTTATGTGGACACCGCTTATAAAAGTGAAGGAAAAACATGTGAGAAATCTGGACTTATAATGTTTTATTTGAAATTACCAATCCGCCTTGAGCAAGCGTGGTGATTATTATTCAAACCTTTCCCACTTGTGAGAAGAAGCCTTTGCTCAGCAATGGGCACGTATTGGCTGATGAAGAATGACTAAATCAATATTAAAAAAAAAAAAAAATATGGATAAGTTCATACATAGTGTTTTATAGTGCGCAGCAGCTTGTGCAGCGCGGCGCGCTCGGGCCGCAGCGAGTGTAAGTAGGAGTAGTGCGTACCTCGTGCAGGTCGACGGGCTCGGTGAAGATGTCGCTGGCGTCCCGCTGGCGCAGCATGCGCAGCAGCTTGTGCAGCGCGGCGCGCTCGGGCCGCAGCGAGTGTAAGTAGGAGTAGTGCGTACCTCGTGCAGGTCGACGGGCTCGGTGAAGATGTCGCTGGCGTCCCGCTGGCGCAGCATGCGCAGCAGCTTGTGCAGCGCGGCGCGCTCGGGCCGCAGCGAGTGTAAGTAGGAGTAGTGCGTACCTCGTGCAGGTCGACGGGCTCGGTGAAGATGTCGCTGGCGTCCCGCTGGCGCAGCATGCGCAGCAGCTTGTGCAGCGCGGCGCGCTCGGGCCGCAGCGAGTGTAAGTAGGAGTAGTGCGTACCTCGTGCAGGTCGACGGGCTCGGTGAAGATGTCGCTGGCGTCCCGCTGGCGCAGCATGCGCAGCAGCTTGTGCAGCGCGGCGCGCTCGGGCCGCAGCGAGTGTAAGTAGGAGTAGTGCGTACCTCGTGCAGGTCGACGGGCTCGGTGAAGATGTCGCTGGCGTCCCGCTGGCGCAGCATGCGCAGCAGCTTGTGCAGCGCGGCGCGCTCGGGCCGCAGCGAGTGTAAGTAGGAGTAGTGCGTACCTCGTGCAGGTCGACGGGCTCGGTGAAGATGTCGCTGGCGTCCCGCTGGCGCAGCATGCGCAGCAGCTTGTGCAGCGCGGCGCGCTCGGGCCGCAGCGAGTGTAAGTAGGAGTAGTGCGTACCTCGTGCAGGTCGACGGGCTCGGTGAAGATGTCGCTGGCGTCCCGCTGGCGCAGCATGCGCAGCAGCTTGTGCAGCGCGGCGCGCTCGGGCCGCAGCGAGTGTAAGTAGGAGTAGTGCGTACCTCGTGCAGGTCGACGGGCTCGGTGAAGATGTCGCTGGCGTCCCGCTGGCGCAGCATGCGCAGCAGCTTGTGCAGCGCGGCGCGCTCGGGCCGCAGCGAGTGTAAGTAGGAGTAGTGCGTACCTCGTGCAGGTCGACGGGCTCGGTGAAGATGTCGCTGGCGTCCCGCTGGCGCAGCATGCGCAGCAGCTTGTGCAGCGCGGCGCGCTCGGGCCGCAGCGAGTGTAAGTAGGAGTAGTGCGTACCTCGTGCAGGTCGACGGGCTCGGTGAAGATGTCGCTGGCGTCCCGCTGGCGCAGCATGCGCAGCAGCTTGTGCAGCGCGGCGCGCTCGGGCCGCAGCGAGTGTAAGTAGGAGTAGTGCGTACCTCGTGCAGGTCGACGGGCTCGGTGAAGATGTCGCTGGCGTCCCGCTGGCGCAGTATGCGCAGCAGCTTGTGCAGCGCGGCGCGCTCGGGCCGCAGCGAGTGTAAGTAGGAGTAGTGCATACCTCGTGCAGGTCGACGGGCTCGGTGAAGATGTCGCTGGCGTCCCGCTGGCGCAGCATGCGCAGCAGCTTGTGCAGCGCGGCGCGCTCGGGCCGCAGCGAGTGTAAGTAGGAGTAGTGCGTACCTCGTGCAGGTCGACGGGCTCGGTGAAGATGTCGCTGGCGTCCCGCTGGCGCAGCATGCGCAGCAGCTTGTGCAGCGCGGCGCGCTCGGGCCGCAGCGAGTGTAAGTAGGAGTAGTGCGTACCTCGTGCAGGTCGACGGGCTCGGTGAAGATGTCGCTGGCGTCCCGCTGGCGCAGCATGCGCAGCAGCTTGTGCAGCGCGGCGCGCTCGGGCCGCAGCGAGTGTAAGTAGGAGTAGTGCGTACCTCGTGCAGGTCGACGGGCTCGGTGAAGATGTCGCTGGCGTCCCGCTGGCGCAGCATGCGCAGCAGCTTGTGCAGCGCGGCGCGCTCGGGCCGCAGCGAGTGTAAGTAGGAGTAGTGCGTACCTCGTGCAGGTCGACGGGCTCGGTGAAGATGTCGCTGGCGTCCCGCTGGCGCAGCATGCGCAGCAGCTTGTGCAGCGCGGCGCGCTCGGGCCGCAGCGAGTGTAAGTAGGAGTAGTGCGTACCTCGTGCAGGTCGACGGGCTCGGTGAAGATGTCGCTGGCGTCCCGCTGGCGCAGCATGCGCAGCAGCTTGTGCAGCGCGGCGCGCTCGGGCCGCAGCGAGTGTAAGTAGGAGTAGTGCGTACCTCGTGCAGGTCGACGGGCTCGGTGAAGATGTCGCTGGCGTCCCGCTGGCGCAGCATGCGCAGCAGCTTGTGCAGCGCGGCGCGCTCGGGCCGCAGCGAGTGTAAGTAGGAGTAGTGCGTACCTCGTGCAGGTCGACGGGCTCGGTGAAGATGTCGCTGCCGTCCCGCTGGCGCAGCATGCGCAGCAGCTTGTGCAGCGCGGCGCGCTCGGGCCGCAGCGAGTGTAAGTAGGAGTAGTGCGTACCTCGTGCAGGTCGACGGGCTCGGTGAAGATGTCGCTGGCGTCCCGCTGGCGCAGCATGCGCAGCAGCTTGTGCAGCGCGGCGCGCTCGGGCCGCAGCGAGTGTAAGTAGGAGTAGTGCGTACCTCGTGCAGGTCGACGGGCTCGGTGAAGATGTCGCTGGCGTCCCGCTGGCGCAGCATGCGCAGCAGCTTGTGCAGCGCGGCGCGCTCGGGCCGCAGCGAGTGTAAGTAGGAGTAGTGCGTACCTCGTGCAGGTCGACGGGCTCGGTGAAGATGTCGCTGGCGTCCCGCTGGCGCAGTATGCGCAGCAGCTTGTGCAGCGCGGCGCGCTCGGGCCGCAGCGAGTGTAAGTAGGAGTAGTGCGTACCTCGTGCAGGTCGACGGGCTCGGTGAAGATGTCGCTGGCGTCCCGCTGGCGCAGCATGCGCAGCAGCTTGTGCAGCGCGGCGCGCTCGGGCCGCAGCGAGTGTAAGTAGGAGTAGTGCGTACCTCGTGCAGGTCGACGGGCTCGGTGAAGATGTCGCTGGCGTCCCGCTGGCGCAGCATGCGCAGCAGCTTGTGCAGCGCGGCGCGCTCGGGCCGCAGCGAGTGTAAGTAGGAGTAGTGCGTACCTCGTGCAGGTCGACGGGCTCGGTGAAGATGTCGCTGGCGTCCCGCTGGCGCAGCATGCGCAGCAGCTTGTGCAGCGCGGCGCGCTCGGGCCGCAGCGAGTGTAAGTAGGAGTAGTGCATACCTCGTGCAGGTCGACGGGCTCGGTGAAGATGTCGCTGGCGTCCCGCTGGCGCAGCATGCGCAGCAGCTTGTGCAGCGCGGCGCGCTCGGGCCGCAGCGAGTGTAAGTAGGAGTAGTGCGTACCTCGTGCAGGTCGACGGGCTCGGTGAAGATGTCGCTGGCGTCCCGCTGGCGCAGCATGCGCAGCAGCTTGTGCAGCGCGGCGCGCTCGGGCCGCAGCGAGTGTAAGTAGGAGTAGTGCGTACCTCGTGCAGGTCGACGGGCTCGGTGAAGATGTCGCTGCCGTCCCGCTGGCGCAGCATGCGCAGCAGCTTGTGCAGCGCGGCGCGCTCGGGCCGCAGCGAGTGTAAGTAGGAGTAGTGCGTACCTCGTGCAGGTCGACGGGCTCGGTGAAGATGTCGCTGGCGTCCCGCTGGCGCAGCATGCGCAGCAGCTTGTGCAGCGCGGCGCGCTCGGGCCGCAGCGAGTGTAAGTAGGAGTAGTGCGTACCTCGTGCAGGTCGACGGGCTCGGTGAAGATGTCGCTGGCGTCCCGCTGGCGCAGCATGCGCAGCAGCTTGTGCAGCGCGGCGCGCTCGGGCCGCAGCGAGTGTAAGTAGGAGTAGTGCGTACCTCGTGCAGGTCGACGGGCTCGGTGAAGATGTCGCTGGCGTCCCGCTGGCGCAGCATGCGCAGCAGCTTGTGCAGCGCGGCGCGCTCGGGCCGCAGCGAGTGTAAGTAGGAGTAGTGCGTACCTCGTGCAGGTCGACGGGCTCGGTGAAGATGTCGCTGGCGTCCCGCTGGCGCAGCATGCGCAGCAGCTTGTGCAGCGCGGCGCGCTCGGGCCGCAGCGAGTGTAAGTAGGAGTAGTGCGTACCTCGTGCAGGTCGACGGGCTCGGTGAAGATGTCGCTGGCGTCCCGCTGGCGCAGCATGCGCAGCAGCTTGTGCAGCGCGGCGCGCTCGGGCCGCAGCGAGTGTAAGTAGGAGTAGTGCGTACCTCGTGCAGGTCGACGGGCTCGGTGAAGATGTCGCTGGCGTCCCGCTGGCGCAGCATGCGCAGCAGCTTGTGCAGCGCGGCGCGCTCGGGCCGCAGCGAGTGTAAGTAGGAGTAGTGCGTACCTCGTGCAGGTCGACGGGCTCGGTGAAGATGTCGCTGGCGTCCCGCTGGCGCAGCATGCGCAGCAGCTTGTGCAGCGCGGCGCGCTCGGGCCGCAGCGAGTGTAAGTAGGAGTAGTGCGTACCTCGTGCAGGTCGACGGGCTCGGTGAAGATGTCGCTGGCGTCCCGCTGGCGCAGCATGCGCAGCAGCTTGTGCAGCGCGGCGCGCTCGGGCCGCAGCGAGTGTAAGTAGGAGTAGTGCGTACCTCGTGCAGGTCGACGGGCTCGGTGAAGATGTCGCTGGCGTCCCGCTGGCGCAGCATGCGCAGCAGCTTGTGCAGCGCGGCGCGCTCGGGCCGCAGCGAGTGTAAGTAGGAGTAGTGCGTACCTCGTGCAGGTCGACGGGCTCGGTGAAGATGTCGCTGCCGTCCCGCTGGCGCAGCATGCGCAGCAGCTTGTGCAGCGCGGCGCGCTCGGGCCGCAGCGAGTGTAAGTAGGAGTAGTGCGTACCTCGTGCAGGTCGACGGGCTCGGTGAAGATGTCGCTGGCGTCCCGCTGGCGCAGCATGCGCAGCAGCTTGTGCAGCGCGGCGCGCTCGGGCCGCAGCGAGTGTAAGTAGGAGTAGTGCGTACCTCGTGCAGGTCGACGGGCTCGGTGAAGATGTCGCTGGCGTCCCGCTGGCGCAGCATGCGCAGCAGCTTGTGCAGCGCGGCGCGCTCGGGCCGCAGCGAGTGTAAGTAGGAGTAGTGCGTACCTCGTGCAGGTCGACGGGCTCGGTGAAGATGTCGCTGGCGTCCCGCTGGCACAGCATGCGCAGCAGCTTGTGCAGCGCGGCGCGCTCGGGCCGCAGCGAGTGTAAGTAGGAGTAGTGCGTACCTCGTGCAGGTCGACGGGCTCGGTGAAGATGTCGCTGGCGTCCCGCTGGCGCAGCATGCGCAGCAGCTTGTGCAGCGCGGCGCGCTCGGGCCGCAGCGAGTGTAAGTAGGAGTAGTGCGTACCTCGTGCAGGTCGACGGGCTCGGTGAAGATGTCGCTGGCGTCCCGCTGGCGCAGCATGCGCAGCAGCTTGTGCAGCGCGGCGCGCTCGGGCCGCAGCGAGTGTAAGTAGGAGTAGTGCGTACCTCGTGCAGGTCGACGGGCTCGGTGAAGATGTCGCTGGCGTCCCGCTGGCGCAGCATGCGCAGCAGCTTGTGCAGCGCGGCGCGCTCGGGCCGCAGCGAGTGTAAGTAGGAGTAGTGCGTACCTCGTGCAGGTCGACGGGCTCGGTGAAGATGTCGCTGGCGTCCCGCTGGCGCAGCATGCGCAGCAGCTTGTGCAGCGCGGCGCGCTCGGGCCGCAGCGAGTGTAAGTAGGAGTAGTGCGTACCTCGTGCAGGTCGACGGGCTCGGTGAAGATGTCGCTGCCGTCCCGCTGGCGCAGCATGCGCAGCAGCTTGTGCAGCGCGGCGCGCTCGGGCCGCAGCGAGTGTAAGTAGGAGTAGTGCGTACCTCGTGCAGGTCGACGGGCTCGGTGAAGATGTCGCTGGCGTCCCGCTGGCGCAGCATGCGCAGCAGCTTGTGCAGCGCGGCGCGCTCGGGCCGCAGCGAGTGTAAGTAGGAGTAGTGCGTACCTCGTGCAGGTCGACGGGCTCGGTGAAGATGTCGCTGGCGTCCCGCTGGCGCAGCATGCGCAGCAGCTTGTGCAGCGCGGCGCGCTCGGGCCGCAGCGAGTGTAAGTAGGAGTAGTGCGTACCTCGTGCAGGTCGACGGGCTCGGTGAAGATGTCGCTGGCGTCCCGCTGGCGCAGCATGCGCAGCAGCTTGTGCAGCGCGGCGCGCTCGGGCCGCAGCGAGTGTAAGTAGGAGTAGTGCGTACCTCGTGCAGGTCGACGGGCTCGGTGAAGATGTCGCTGGCGTCCCGCTGGCGCAGCATGCGCAGCAGCTTGTGCAGCGCGGCGCGCTCGGGCCGCAGCGAGTGTAAGTAGGAGTAGTGCGTACCTCGTGCAGGTCGACGGGCTCGGTGAAGATGTCGCTGGCGTCCCGCTGGCGCAGCATGCGCAGCAGCTTGTGCAGCGCGGCGCGCTCGGGCCGCAGCGAGTGTAAGTAGGAGTAGTGCGTACCTCGTGCAGGTCGACGGGCTCGGTGAAGATGTCGCTGGCGTCCCGCTGGCGCAGCATGCGCAGCAGCTTGTGCAGCGCGGCGCGCTCGGGCCGCAGCGAGTGTAAGTAGGAGTAGTGCGTACCTCGTGCAGGTCGACGGGCTCGGTGAAGATGTCGCTGGCGTCCCGCTGGCGCAGCATGCGCAGCAGCTTGTGCAGCGCGGCGCGCTCGGGCCGCAGCGAGTGTAAGTAGGAGTAGTGCGTACCTCGTGCAGGTCGACGGGCTCGGTGAAGATGTCGCTGCCGTCCCGCTGGCGCAGCATGCGCAGCAGCTTGTGCAGCGCGGCGCGCTCGGGCCGCAGCGAGTGTAAGTAGGAGTAGTGCGTACCTCGTGCAGGTCGACGGGCTCGGTGAAGATGTCGCTGGCGTCCCGCTGGCGCAGCATGCGCAGCAGCTTGTGCAGCGCGGCGCGCTCGGGCCGCAGCGAGTGTAAGTAGGAGTAGTGCGTACCTCGTGCAGGTCGACGGGCTCGGTGAAGATGTCGCTGGCGTCCCGCTGGCGCAGCATGCGCAGCAGCTTGTGCAGCGCGGCGCGCTCGGGCCGCAGCGAGTGTAAGTAGGAGTAGTGCGTACCTCGTGCAGGTCGACGGGCTCGGTGAAGATGTCGCTGGCGTCCCGCTGGCACAGCATGCGCAGCAGCTTGTGCAGCGCGGCGCGCTCGGGCCGCAGCGAGTGTAAGTAGGAGTAGTGCGTACCTCGTGCAGGTCGACGGGCTCGGTGAAGATGTCGCTGGCGTCCCGCTGGCGCAGCATGCGCAGCAGCTTGTGCAGCGCGGCGCGCTCGGGCCGCAGCGAGTGTAAGTAGGAGTAGTGCGTACCTCGTGCAGGTCGACGGGCTCGGTGAAGATGTCGCTGGCGTCCCGCTGGCGCAGCATGCGCAGCAGCTTGTGCAGCGCGGCGCGCTCGGGCCGCAGCGAGTGTAAGTAGGAGTAGTGCGTACCTCGTGCAGGTCGACGGGCTCGGTGAAGATGTCGCTGGCGTCCCGCTGGCGCAGCATGCGCAGCAGCTTGTGCAGCGCGGCGCGCTCGGGCCGCAGCGAGTGCAGGACGCAGCGTTCCCACACGCGCGTGTACTCCGCCTTCAGCCGCTCGCGCTTGCGCACCAGCTCGCACAGCAGTCTGAACAACACAACACCCTCAGTAGTCACCGATAATTGAACACGTGGTTGTACTCATGATCGTGACCACACTCAACCGTGAGGGGGGACGGGGCCTAAAAGGTCTATTAATTAAAAAAAATCCTAAACAAATAAGTGGATGCAAAGCATGGTTATTTTTGTTGAAATAAAGTATCTTCGACCTAGAAAACGATCAAACTGTATGGTTAAATTCTAGTGAGTGTGCGTACGTGCGTGCGTGCGTACGTGAGTGCATGCGTGCGTGCATGCGTGCTTATGTATGTGTGGGTGTCAAATTCGTGTTAAATTGTATAGTTTACCTGGCTCTCTCTAAGTCTTGTCGTATCCTCTGCCAGTACTTCAGCTGGTTACATAGTTCCCTCACGTTGACAGTGCCGTCCTGAATACCTCGGGTGCCTGATAGCGAAGAACCAAACATTTTTAGTACACAGATATTTGTTTTACAAAACCTACAAATTGTTATGATAAATGTTCAAGACATTCATCACTGTAAAAGTTAATCAATGTAAGTTCCTGAACATCATAATTAATGCTCTGTAAATGTGAAATAACCACAGCGTTGTATTTCGCTATAACTCTTTATGTGATCCACAAATTGTTGTTCCGGGTTCAGACCCGGAACAACAATTTGATTCTCAGGAATCATGTGCACGTAAAATTGTATGTTTGTAACTGCACCCATGACACGGGAGAAAATCCTAGTGTAGGGCAAAGTTTTAAAAGAAAAGAAAAAAATAAGTTGTTGCAGTTGTCAATGAGCGACGCGGATTGCTTACCATCAGGTCGATTGCCGTCCTACCAGATAACAAAAAAACAACATTGCACATAAAATAGACTTACCATGATTACTAGTCAAGCTCTGCAACCTTCTCAGCAATGGTACTCCATTCCTGCTATGTCGCTTGAGGGTCCAGTAAGCGAGGAGTCTCTTCATAAGTTGGGCCCTCGCGGCCGGGGCCCCGGGGGCCAGCGCCGCTACCTCGGCCACCCGGTCCGCGGGCAGGGTGGGGACTAGTACTACAGGGGCCCATGTACGTTTCATCGCTAGGACCCGACGAGCCTGGGAATAAAAATCATTATAAATTGTTTAATGCCAGTAACGGATTTGACTAAGAAATTACCAGTTCCATTACTTATTTTCCAGACTAAAAAAGCCAGACCTTACATTGTTTCTTCATAACCCAATCAGTATGAGAAAGCACTCTCATGTTGCAAGTGCTTAAGTCTCCTGAAGCCTCCTTTATAAACTTAGTTACTATAATCAAGTATAACCTATTGGTTTAGAATGATGGTTAACTAAAAGTAAACAATCTTGGTATGTCTTCACATTAAAGAGGTCATATGCATATAATCATCATCATCATCATCAGCCTATAAGTGCCCACTGCTGAGCAAAGGCCTCTTCTCATACGGAGAAGGTTAGAACATTAATCACCACACTTGCTCAATGCGGGTTGGCGATTTCAAACTTACAATTAGAAATTATAAGTCCAGGTTTCCTCACGATGTTTACCTTCACCGTACGTCAGTGGTGTCTAAATAATCATAGAAAGTGCATATAACTCGGAAAAAGTCACATTGGTACTTGTCAGGTTTCGAACCCTCATGCATGAGAAGCGGGCTCCCTAACCTCCGGGCCACCACGATGACTAACCTAACCCAATAGGAGGAATATTTAACTCAACCTGGGCAGTGAAGGGAAGGGTCCAATAACCGTCTTGAAACGTCGTGGTAGCCCCGCTTTTAATGCATGAGGGTTCGAAACCTTTCACTACCAATGTGGCTTTACCGAGTTATTTGTACTTTCTATGAATATTTAGATACCACAGACCTACGGTGAAGAAAGACATTGTGAGTAAACCTGAACTTATAATTCTAATTATAAGTTTGAAATCGCCAATACGTGAGCAAGTGTGATGATTAATGATCAAACCATCTCTGTGTGAGGAGAGTTCTTTGCCCAGCAGTGGGCACTTATGGGCTGATGATGAACCCCTAATACTTAAAGGAAGTTACGTATAATTATATGATAATATACCTGTTTTATCTTCTCTCTGCCTTTTTGTCGAATCGCAGTCAGATCATTAGACTTTGTATCACCTTCCGATTCTTGTGCTCGTCGCTCCTAAGAAAATAGAAAAATGAAACATAAGTAATATAAATTCTTACGCCATACAATAACTTGATTCACATTTTTTATGATAATACTACAGAGCCGATGTTCATTCGGGGTTGCGGGGTAAGCGCAAGAAAGCATAACTATTATGAGGTCAAATTTTTTAAGTTTGTATGTAGGAGTAATCTTTGGAACAGCTGGTCGGATTTCGAAAATTCTTTCACTGATAGATAGCTGCATTGTTGCAGAGTGCTATAGGCATTACTTTTATACGCGTTTCAAGCCACGGGCGTTATCTACTTTTTAATAAGCTCTACATTAGATACAGTACATATTGACAATTAATAGAGGCTTGTACCTGTAGTATATGCGCAGGAGTGTGTGCATCGCAGTACGCCATCTTGGCGACCTGCACCGGCTGGCTGGGGTCGCGACCTGCGCCCGCCGCCTCCATCTTCATGTATAGACTGAAATATACATATATAATATATTAGAGAAGCCCCAAGAAGGTCACAACTGTATTTACACCGAACAGACGGATTATGTGATGGTAAGCAATCGGCACTGCCCATGGACGCATGCAACACTAGAAGTTTCAAGTGCATCGCCGGCATTTAGGGGGGTTAGAAGTGTGAGCATTGCAGGATTGGGGATTGGGTATGTGGGGGGATTGGGCTTTTCCAATGGTCCATGTATATGTGACATGAATTGCGTTAATAAGTTATCTATACACGCCTCGTTAGTTATGTAATTGCATTCGTGGTTTTAAGTCAGTAATAGTAATTATGCTTGACTGGAATGATGCCCCAGGATTCCCATATCAGGTTTTCCATATGGTTTTTTACGCTCTATGCCATAACAAGATTAGATAAATAATAGTCCTCACCCAGCCTGCTGAGCGCAGGTAACATGGAAGGCGGAGTAGCAGTTACTCTTGTGGCACTGTATGCACGCGCCCACGCTGCGCTGCTTGCATACCATGCACTGCAGCTTCCAACGAGCCGCCGGGATCATCTCGATCGAATCTGTTTGACGAAATTATGTCTTATCACTGTAGTGTGAGGGTTGATTATTGAACAATTTTGTCATTTATCGATATTTTTCATTTTGGTTAGTGGTAGAATTGGATCTTTTTTTTTCTTTCTTAATTCAATTTTTTTAATATCTGACTGTATTTTACGTAGAATTAATGCTATATTTTCGCTTCACCTCCAACTCACTATTAATTCCACATTAGTATTTCATTTTGTAATGGCTTTTGATTGGCAGTAGGATCTAATAACACTTGTTATACAAATGTTACCTAATGAGAATGGAAAAGCCAAAAAACAAACCTAAACCTTTCAATTTACTTAACACATTTCTTCACCCGCAACCTAAAGAACACGTTCACAAGTATTACAGATACAAGTAGATGACAAAAATAAACTAAGTAGAATCCTTACCAATAGGCTCCAAGAACACAGTATTAGCAAACCGAACTTCAGGTATCCATAACGCACATACCACGTGCGCCCAAGTCCCTTGGTCTGTCTGCTTAAAAGCACCTAGAAACAACCAATTTTCAAACTTAATAAACAAATTATAAGGTACATTTTTCTTATACGAATACCAGATATAATATATCTGGTATTCGTATAATATAAAATATTTGATAATATAAAAACCCGTTTTTCTATGGAACCAAAGAGAAATAAAATGTTACTTTTTTATTTGTCAAGATACCTTTTGTTAGATATCATGAAAAGTGTTAAAAAAATATAAATCTTAACACATTAATAATAAGACACAATTTACTTTAACAAAACAATGGGACATGAATTATTTTTTGTAAAGACGAATATAACTCTTATGAGTACAGTTTTGAGGTTTATTATTGGATGCTTACCGCCAGTATTGGGACAGAGTACGCAGTTGACTAGCCGCGACGGTGACTGCAGACATCGCCGGCATAGCCATTGTCCTTCAGGAATGTATGGTACCTAAGCAAAAAGGTATTAAAAAACTTATTATACACATTTGTTTAACAGGATTTAATGTTCCTACATTACTTGTTTGTTATTTGATTGACGTTTTGGCAGGATTACACCTGCCATGGTTACAAGCAGACTGATATCTACTAATACTAATGTACAACGCAAAAGTTTAAAGTATTCTTGGATTCTTGTTTCCCGAAGGGTGTGAATAATAATAATGACAACGTGTAGTAGTGGAAGTATGGTAGGCGTGGTCAAATTATCGAATAATTTTTATCATAAAATATTCTTATATTAGGTGTGCATCCAAATTTTGTAACATAACAAAATTACTTTCATAAAACTATAAATTAGAGAAAATAAGAACAAAAACTGTTATGTTTAGACAAATAAATTATTATTTTATTGAAGACATTATATACAGATTTTTATTTCATTGCAATCAAACTACTTACTCCGTAACAATCCTGATGCACAGCAAGGTTGCACATGTCACAGAAAAGAATCACATTTGTGTTCTGACATTCTCCGTCCATGCAGATGCAGCAAACTGCATCTTCATCCACCGTTGCAGCTGTTTGTTGACCATTCTGCGATGCCTGTGGATATATTGCAATTAAGATGTTTATTTTAAATGCGAAATTAAATCTTCATGTCTTTCTGTTTTTTCTTCACGCCTAAACAACTGGACCGATTTCTGTGATATTTGGTACAGACATTGTTTCTAAACAAAAAATCTGCAAGAAGTCACTATTCCATGCAAACAAAAAGCTAGTTGCTATTTAAGGATTAGAAAATCTGAATTTGTCCTTGTTATCAGCCTTTTTCTGCCCTACATACTTTAACATATAAATCTTCTAATCATTTTCTCCTATGTCATGGGTGTGTTTACAACATACAATTTACATACACATCACATCCAGACACGGAACAACAATTTGTAAATCACACAAAGAGTTGTTTCAGGTCTGGGTGCCCCGGCATCCAGTCGCTCAATCACAGTTATGTTTAGAAACATATATTTACGCGGGTATAAACGCGGAAAATTATTATTTGATTACCTTGGTAGGCTTGACGTTTTGACCCGACCGTAATACCCGTGTAAATATATGTTTTAATATGAAACGCGAAAGTTTAAAAGTTAGTATGTTTAGAAACACACCTGAAAATAGGACTCCTTCTCCAATCTATCCATGAGCAGTTCCAGGGTATCAACAGTAACCGCTGGCAAGTTCTGCTTCACCCTCGTCTTGTTGATGATGGCCAGCCATGCAGTGTCTTCCTCATCGACATCATATTCCACTTCTCCATCTAACTCCTCAGCTGATTTTTCTATGAAGCGAATGTAAGCGTTTGGCCGCGGCGGAGCATCACATACGCGCTCATTGTAGTCGTCGACAAGCTGGAAATATGGACATGTTATAGAATTTTGGATATATCTTTATTATAAACCCTTATAAAATATATAGAGTACGAAATTGAGCTCTTGGTATCAAAGTCAAAGTTTTCAGTACATATTTGAGGGGCATATACTTTATTTAAATTAAATAGTCAGACTATCTGTCAGTGAAGCTAGGTGTTGTGATCTATAAGTTGTGATCACTGCATTCTACATTAGACCTGTTGAGAAGAAGCCCCTAATGATTGTAACAACACTATGTGTATAGCTAGCACTTTTGATGCTGATGCTATCAAAAGAAAGCTATCATAGCATAGCATAATGGTAATGTAATTTGAAAAGTAAGGCAAAATCTTGTTTTTCTTTTAAGTAGTAGTGGGTGTAACCAGAATAATGTACTGTGGCCTGATCCTATATCTAGTTTTTATCAGTATGAGTATGAGTTATGACACTCCTTTTTGAACAACACAGGACAGAAGTCATTTGATAATGAAAGACCCAGATTTTCGAGACTATTTCAGCCATCTAAGTAGTACATATAATACTTTTTTAAAGGTTAGTGTAACCAACAAACCTTCTTTGACAGTTATGAAACAAATATAAAAAATGTGGATTAAACAGTACAATTTTATTTAGCCATATAAAAGTATTTAATAGAGAATATGTTTAGTAATGTCTGGTAACTGAAAAATATTCTAGGATTAATCCAAACATATATGAGGCCCAGAAATAGACTTATTTATGACTTCTACTGAAAAAATGTACTGAAATAATTGATATAAAGTCTTTTGCAAGCTCATAATTATCAATATGATTGAGCATTTTGCACCTAGTCTCACTGAAGTAGAGACATTTTATTTTTTCCTGACATTCAAGTTTAGTTTCAATTTAGCAAATGCTTTGACTTTGGACACAAGAACTTCATAAGTATCAATAATTTTAATATAATTTTGATTTGTTGCTGTTAAAGCCAAATACAAACAAATTAATTAATTGACATCAATTCATCAAACCCCAAGAGAACACAGGATGGCATTCGGGTGCCTATTGTTCTTCTATTGTGTCTCAAAATACAGTCACTTAAAGGCTAACCCTTCAAGCCTTCTTGCACTCTCTTGCATTCAAATGATTATAACAAATGCAAGAGAGTGGTAACAGGTTGCTGCTTAGGGTTTGAGTGAATGGCGCAGTGCCTAAGGCCTGGCAACCGGTTACTGCTTGGGGTTCGAAGGGTTAAAAGACAAACTAATTAATGTAAAATATAAATAATTCTAAATTGAAATTTTTTCTTAAAGCATCTTATCATATTACCTACATATATATACTATAATAAAAGAATACTATTCCTTCAAAATTATATTTTCATTTAATATATTGTTTCACAACAAAATTTGCAATTTTTGTATAAATTGCACCCTGTAGGTACCAAACATTTAGAGCTCTATACCTTTTTCATTGTTTTATTGATGTTATATCACAGAAACAGGGAACAAAATTATGAATAAATTCTTTCCACCATACCTTGAAGCTTGCTTCAGGTAACTTCACATGAGGTTCTACGGGAGGCTCCACCACTGGCAAGGGCTTTTCCAATGCGGCATTCGTCTTCTGCCATTCTTCAAGGGACATGATAGGCAGAGGTTGGTCAATTGGTATTCTGCTGATTTTGCCATCAATCTCGAATTGGACCACTTTTTGAGCTTCAGCGAAAGTTAAAGCCTCTTTCGGCGGACTCTGAAGAGCGATGTCGCCTGTAGGTACGGCAGCTCTACCTCTTCCCTTCTTACGATGGTTGGCTACGGCAGGCGTCGCCGGGGTCGGATTGTCGTGATCATAATGAACTAAATGATACTGTAACCCACATAAACTCTTATAAACTTTATCACACTTTTCTAAAGGACACTGATACGGCGGAGGCCGGTTTTGCCGCAGTTTTTTACAAAATTCAAAGACATCAAAGTCCAAGCCCATTTTGCTGAGTTTTATAACACTTTTCTCTATAAAAGTAATACCATAGTATGCATTGTTTCATACAATATTCACTGATTTATCTTAACAAGCACAGAAAGAACATAATTATCAAAATAAATACGATTTTATAGCACAGGAAAGTGAAAGGCGCAAAATTATTATTTTTTGTTTGACTTCGTGGTTTAGCTGTCAAATAGTGCTGTATCCTGAAAAAGACAAACATGAATTGTGTATACATCCTTGTTCATTTTAGTCGATTATTAAGAAAATCTTAAATTGTTATTTACATAATAAACGTGGTTTACGTTTATTAAGTAAATAACTGTTTATAAATTCATTGATTAGCCTTGTTTGAATGAGGTCTGAGGATCCCTAAATTATAACTCAACATCACAGTTTTTCTCCTACTCACAGGCAAAATTACATATTTTTTTCATGACGACTCGATATCTATTAATAAATTAATAGTCGATAGTCTCATTGCCAGTTACAAAAATCGAGGTGGCAAAAATATAGAATTTTCAAGAACATTCTACTTTATGATCTGCTGTCAATTGTGGATGGTTTGTTGTTGTGAGAGTGTTGTTAAAAAAAAAGGATAAACTTTTTCTAGTTGTGAATTTGCATTATTTTCCTTGAAAGTGACATTTTTTCAATCCAGTGACAATGGATATATATGGATATCCGGGTTTTTCTTATAGTCAGTCTGATGAACTTGCAAAACAAATGTATGCGCATCAGGCCCTGGCTTCATCTATACCATTTAATCGCGCGTTAGCAGAGCCCCATGCTATGCCTGCACCTACAGGAACACCGTGGAACGTCCAGGGTCTTCCCTGGGGTATGCCGTCACCTCCCCAGCTGGTCCAGTTTACTGGTCAGCCACAAATCATGGAACCGAAAATTAGTCCTGTAATTCACTGCAAGAGAAAAAGCTTGGATGTGGAACCAGTCATGTAAGTTTGTTATAGGATATAAGTATATTTTCAACATGTTTACAGTATTATTTCTAAATATGTTTATAACTATAATTCATGGAAATGAAGGTACTTTCGTCTGACATTAATGCTTAGTCAACAAAAAACTTCTAATGCGCTAGTTATAAAAAAGGTAATAAATTCATTCATACAATTAAAATTCTATTACTCATTTCTATAATATAATGTATAATGTATTAAGTATTCACACAAGTGATACCCTGTTTATAATATACTAAACCTTACTGTCTTTACAGACCAGCAAAGCAATTAATAACTGAAGAGAAAATGGCCGCTCACCTGAACAGTCTTCACATTTCATCAGAATACACCTCACATGCGCTCGCTTCCTCACAGGATGTGATGGATGTTGGGATGGAGCCAGTCAGTGAGAAACTCAAGGGTCACACAATAGTCTTGTCTGAAGAACTGAAGAAGTTACGGGAAGAACCTTTATTACCAGCTGCGCTTATTGATAGGTAAGGTTTCTTTAACACATTTATTGAATGGCATGGTAGAGGATTTGCTCGTAACCATGTCTCTTGGTAGTTAATGACTTAAATTAAATAATAATAAATGTTATTATGATCTATCCGTTTACATTATTAACTAAATGTAAACAGTCAGGAATTTGTCAAATAAATTAAATTAAAATAATCATTCATATATGCATATGACCTCTTTAATGTAAGAAGACATACCAAGATTGTTTACCTTTAGTTAACCATCTTTCTAAACCAATAGATTATACTTGATTAAAGTAATAAAGTTTATAAAGGAGGCTTCTGGAGACTAAGTACTTGCAACATGAGAGTGCTTTTTCATACTAAACATGTTGTTTTTCATTTTATGAAGTTGTAAGCAAATAACATAAGTTGTTTTTGTATTGGATCTTTTCTTGTCATTTATGTATGTGTTAACCTTAGGAATTTTTCTACTTTACCACAGTAATGACATTTACTGTTACAATATGAGCCTCATAGCTAGCTTCAGATACAATTCTGTTCATAGGTTCACTTATTCCGGGAATTTATCAAAGAGTAATATCATTTTCAATTCATTTGACAGTCAGTTAGGCTTACTGCATTAAAACGGAACTGATAACATTATCAATGGAAGTGGACTTTTATGATAAAATCTGAAACTGACATCACACATACTAATGTATGAAAGTAGACCGCCATTTCATATTCATAAGCTAGACCTGTCTTCTGTGATATTTTTTATGTGATTCGACAAATGGGCAGTTGGATTCCCTTATGTTAAGCAATGCGCCGCATATGGACACGCGCGACAAAGTAGTTACGAGTGCTTTGCCACCATTTGGGGATAAGGGATTGGTGAGGGTAAGGATTGGGCCTCCAAAACCTCACTCATATGGCGAAACACAATGCTGTGGTTGTTTCACGCCAGTATTCTGTGATAACACTCCGGTCCAGCTGATCCATTAGTACCCTAGCTCTCTTTTTGTGAGAGACCTAGTCTAGCACTTTCTTGTTATAGACCAAGACTTTATATTGTAAGACAAACAATAATCCACTAAACATAATTTAAAAATAACCTTTATAGAACTGGGCCATTGCATATTACAAAATCATTGTGATTTCTTCTCACTTTTATTACTCCCTGAAATAAGGTCTATTTTTGTTTGACAATGTGTTCCATTGTGTTGTAATTCGGAAGGTCAGTCCTTTGTCACTCAGCATTTTAAAGATATAAATAATTCTTACTGTGTAAGACATGTTTTGAAAAGGATATTAAGTCTTTCAATATAACAAAGTAAAAAAACTCTATGATTTCTTTGTTCATTATTTAAAACAAAGTAGATAGGTAATTACCCTGTAGTGTTTTACTTGGAAGCATTCCAGCCAGACTCTCAAACCTAGTCAGATGTTTTGTCTTTATACACAATAATATACACAAAATTATTTTTTAGAAGAAAAAATCTGGATGTGACATCAATTCCATTAAATAATTCATGAACAAACAACAACTTTCACTCACTAACCACTTATACTTACATAACTTCTTTATAGATTGGAGAAACCACACATGTCTCTAGTTGTATGGAAGCCCAGAGAGAGTATTCTAGCCAACATCCAAGAAGAGAAGAAAGAGGATAAGAAACATCCGCAGAAGAGAAATGGACTGCTAGTTACACCAACACATCAATCGGAGGATGTCGAGATGTGATATTGAAGCTTATATAGCGTTAAGACTTGAACTTTGTACCTATATTAACATTATGTGTAAGTATGTCAGTCAGTTTTAAGATTATTTGTTGATTAGCAGCTATACTATATGAAAAGGTCCTATGTACTTGTACATCTTACGGAAAGCAGAGAAGAATTTTTGTGACAAATTGAAATATAACTTGATAATGTGATGATATGGATCATATTTCTGTGCGTATAGAAAGCTTGACACAATGCTTGTTATTGTAATTTGAACTCCATTGCACAGTTTTAAAGTTATAATTCACTTTGTAGCAGTATCACTCAACATTTACTGCCATAGGTACATATGCTTATGTGCATAGGGCCTAGTTTTGAATGTTTTTCTAATGGTATATTTGTCTTTTAACCTTCAGCTGTTATAATTATCTGTACTCTGAATAAATTGTTTATGTATAATATTAAGTGTCACATTGTATCTTATGTTATTCGAAGTTTCATATATGTATGTCCAGGTTATGTAGTGGAAGTGTGCACAAATAAAAAATATCCCAGTTTACAATATAATTGATAAATATACATAGGTAACAATGTAATCAACATTAAGCATTGGAAATAGGGATCCAAAGTTAAAGCTTTAGGTATCTTGTGTGGCAGAGAAGAAACAAAACAACTGAATAGTATCTATAAAATATTTACATCCTATTAGATTTACAATCTGAATATTGACTACATTTTATTTTCAAGAACTTTTGGTGCTACTGCTTAACCGACGCACGTAAAACATTTGACTTAGCGCCATACTCGGAGTTATTTAATGGTTATTTACAGATAACTTAGTCCTTAACATTTGTTTTTGAACAAAATCGCCTGTCTTGGCAATCACAGCGCGCGGTACGAGCGCGAGCCCCGTGGCGACCATCACCAATCTAGGGCCCTAAACACATTCCCAGTTTGCCATTGGATAATGGAAACAGCACTGGGGTAAAGTAATCATTAAATGACTCTAAATATGGCAGTAAATATTCTTTTTATTCAGCAAGTAAAAGTGTCATTGTAAATGCGACTTATCAGATTTAAATAAGTAAATTGGGTTCATCATTCGCAAATAGTAAAGAGAAGAAAATTGTAAAAAGTGTTTATAGTTACATTGATTCTACCGCCACAACTCAACACTGCCAGTATAAGTAAGTAGTCGACATGATTGTAATGGAGACACGGTTGTCATTCAAGGAAAATAAAAAGTCTCAGTTTTCTGAAGTAAGTAGGTACCTAAGAATCGTTTCGTAAATAAAACGCAAGATTTCCATCGAAGAAAAAAACAAACACAATACAAGATTTATATTTAGTCTAGGTTTAAACCATTGAGTCAGGTTTTGTATTTTGAATCTTATTTTCATCTATCTTCAATTTGAAATACAAAAACTAGACTAAAGAGAAACCCTGTTTTGTAATAAAGCCGAAGATGTTATGTCAAACACAAACTCCTTTTTAAGGTTACGTAAATCTAAATTTAAAATTACGAACAGTAATTCTTTAAGGGCTGATTTTTCATAGTAATTAGTTAGCTGGGGAATAATTATGATGCTGTCGCGTCACAATTAGTTGTATAGGACAGTGACAGCAACAATTTTATTCTTCAGGTAATATTTATCTGACTTTCAAAAAATCAGCTCTTAATTTCTATAATTTTTGTTTTCCGAAATTTACTGATCTGTCTTTGTGATTATATTTACATAGGAACTCGTTTATCTAGTTAAATAATTATAAGTAATTGAAATTCAAAATTTTGTTATGTTTATAAAGCACCTGTACATGAATAGCACTTATTTTTTTGGATAGATTATTATTAGATGTAAAAAAGTTGAATAATAGGATCGTAGGGTGATTAAATATCAATACTTTTTTTACCTAATTTTAACTTGCATGTAGGTCGATTTATCTCGTGTTATGTTTTTAAAAGTCCTTTAAAATTGACCATAGATGAATGTTCTATTTTTTGGATTTCAAACTTCGAAGAGAGCTTGGTTTAATAA